AACGCGGGCGGAGCCGCGGGCAATGCTAGTTATATTATATATTAGTAAACTATTGTTATGTAAGTTTGAATACAATGGTGTTCATAAATTTCTTTATTTGAATATAATTTAATATTTTGTCTTAGGGCATTTCGCTTGATTTATGTATTATATATTTTTTAGTTGAACTGTTTCGATATTTGCGGTTGGTGTACAAAAAATATGGACCTATCTATCAAATGCACATTATCAATTGTCAAACCGTAGGAATAGTGGACCCTAAACTTGTCGAGGTAATATATTTTATAAGTACATACATTTTTTTAACATGATTGCGAAGAAGGAAACATTGAAATCTATACGTATAATAAAATTCTAACTAAGCCGAATCTGTACATTATTTTTTTTAATCATATCAAAATAGACATTATTATCGATACAGAGGCCGAAGCTATGGTTTTTAAATTTTTGTCTGTCTGTCCGTCCGTCCGTCCGTCTGTCTGTTTGGAAACCATTGGAGGTATTTTGATGTTTGGTATGGTGATAGCTGGTTATCCGGGTCAACATATAGGATACTTTTACCGCGGGAAAATGTCTCATTTCTGAGAAAAAATACAAAAAAACTACAATGTACTGTACATACTAATATGTAAAATCTAAGAATTTGGTTTTTCGTCATCTGAACGCAGGCGGAGCAGCGGGCAATGCTAGTTAATGATAATTTTGAAGTAATAGAAAGTTTCCATAAATACAGCCAAATATGATAAATTTTATTAATACACATTTTGATCTGCTAATTTTGCATGTCCCGTTTATAAGTTGTATATTTAAAATACATGGTTGGATATTTAAGGACAAAGATAAATGCTTCAGTATGGGACAGCTAGGGATGATAGATAACGTTATTATCTACGTATGCGTATTTTTACATTGCTTATATTTAAAAAAAAATGTTTAGGGGACTGAGTATCCATATTATCCATACTATATACATATTATAAATGTGAAAGTGTTTGTTTGTTTGTTTGTTTGTTTGTTTGTCCTTCTTTCACGTCCAAACGGAGTGACGGCTTGGCGTGATTTTTTGTTTGGAGCTAGTTGGCGGGCTGCAGAGTGACATAGGCTACTTTTTACAGTGGGAGGTTATCTAATTCCCACGGGATTACGCGTTATAATGCATTCCAAAAAATATTTATGATCAGAATTCAGATTTATGATCAGAATTATTCTGATCAGACTTGAAACTTGGTATTATTGCTGTTCAATAAAATTAAATAAATACGTATTTTAGCATTTTTCGCAATTCATCCTATATAGGGGTAAAATAGGGGATGAATTTTGAATGATGAGATTTTTTGTAGTTTTAGCGCGAGTGAAGCCGCGGGTTCTGCTAGTAAGTAATAAAAGTACTTTCTATCGTTTTAGAATTTTTGTTTATTGGTTCGTTCTGGTCGGTTTGTTTCTGTTTATCTGTCGGTTTGTCTGTGTTTTAAATTACATCAAATGAAAACTACTGGATTGAATTTATTTCATTAAAATCAATCAACTATGTCAAAAGTTATTCCAATTCGAATGTAGAAGGATTTCTACAAACAATTTAATGCGTGGACTGTGGTACTGGCGGGAGTAATATTTTAAATAAATGATAATATCAAATATGTATGATGGATAAATAAAATAATTACAGTTAAATGTTGTCTAATTCATATTATAATATCGTTTTACATACAAGTATTTTCGTAACAATAAGTAATGTCCCTAAGCCGCGATTCTTACTAAAAAAATCATCACGTCTGAGGACAATCCCTTTTCAATATAGGAGGTGTTACCTTACCTTGTCCTTTTTACGCGACATATTTTTGAGTTTCTGACATCCATGCGAACGAAGTCTTAAAGTATTTAAATAAAACTATCTTTCAGATGTATTCGCAGATTCATTTTAGTTTTTGGTTCCCGACGTTTCAAATGCTTCTATTCTTTCTATCTTAAGCTTATTTGCACGTTGTAAAATGAGTTGTTTTGCTTAATAATATTCTATATAATGATCAGAACTTTTACGGAGCATTTCGTTTTTCTAACGTACAAAGAAAATTGTATTGATTCTCAATAAATGTTATTAATAGTCGTAAGTGATTTGCTTATCATAGATGCGTAAAGTCTTTTACCGCACTCTTACCGTACTTTATTTTATTTGTCTATCTTATTCATTTAATGTCTGGTATGTATCGCTATAGACTTGGAGGTCGAGGGTTTTAGCCCCAGGTCGGACCAATTGTAGTTGTATGGTTTTCAGTCAAAGAATCTCAATAACAACCCCACGTCATCAGCTTTCACTCATAATAAGTCCTGTAAGTTTTTAAGATACTTTCTATCATTTCAGATTATTTTATCTTCACCTCGGTTTAGTGAAAAATATATACCTTATAACTTTCTTAAACCATGGTTAAATGAAGGTTTACTAGTAAGCAATGGTAAGTCCTATGTCAATTTTATTTTAAATTTATTAATGATAATGATGTTATTGCTATGTTAATATACACAAAGTTGAAAATACCGATTTACTTTATATTACAACTAGCGACGCAGCCTCCCTTCGGGTTCGTCCCTAGACAAAAACAAATCTATCCCATGGGAACCGTGCATTTTTCCAGGACTAAATATAGCCTTTATCTTTTCTCAATAAACGCTCTATGTAATGCAAAAATAATTTTTCAAATCGGATTAGTAGTTCCTGAGATGCGCGTTCAAACAAACAAATTCTGCCTCTTTATAATATTAGTATAGATTAATAAAATAATACATTGCCTTCATAAAATATGACGAGCATTAAATCTGTTTTTATATACTTGGACATAGCACCAGTTGAGGTTAAGTTCTTTATCAAATACATTACAAAAAACAATTTTAACACAGACATCTTCATTTGCATAAGACAAAATATTAAAACCCAAACAACCTAACCTTTTGTACCTGTTTTGATTATCTTTTAAATGAAAAATGAAAAAAAATTAAAAAAATGTAATAATAAAAAAAGAAAGAGTTTTTAAATACATTAAGTCTGTCGTTGGGACATCCTTTTAAGTAAATAGATACCTGTGCCAGGATGTCCCGCTCTTCCGTAGAAAATTTCTTAAAATTATACAACTCAATAGTGTTTTTTATATTAACCAAAACTTATAAATAATAGCAAAAAAAATAATAATAGCAAAAATAGTGTGTGCGTGCGTGCGTGCGTACGTGCGTGCGCGTGTGTGTGTGTGTGTGTGTGTGTGTGTGCGTGCGCGCATGCATGTACGTGTGTAAATAAAATGTTGGAGTGGATGTTTAGGTAATTTCATCGAATAAAGCTTCTACTTCTCCATTATTTAATTTTGCAAGCCAGTCAGTTAGGGACTTTTTTAGTTCATAATTATTTAGCATAATTTAAATATATTAAACATACATATATTAATATATTATAATAAATATTGTTCCTTATCTAGCTTCTATTTAAAATAAATGCGGTACGTTACCTGATTTAATGAAACAGTAAACTAATATAATTGCTTTAAAGTGGTGATAGGTTTGAACCTGGAAATTATACGCCTATTTCAATACTACCAGCATTAAGCAAAATATTTGAAAAACTAATTTTTAACCAATTACGTAGTTTCTTTCATTGTAACAATGTTATGCATAGTGAACAGTCTTCACTAAAAGTAAATCTACAACTGATGCGGATGCTGCGCTTCTGACAGCCGACAATATTTTAAAATATGAATATCTAATAGGTAAATATGTATTTTACGTATCGAAATATATTAGATTTGCTTTGCATCGACTGGCACCGACTTCAAAAATATCTGATTAGGTATCTACATGTTCTAAATGAAAACCCTCGTTTAGTTATTTTTTTCATTGTAGTGCCTGGAAGTCGGTTTTTTTAAGCTTTTATTTTTCTATTTTTAGCGTAGACGTAATAAGCAGGCAGAAAGTTTTTTAATTACACATTCGATTAAATAATTTATTTATAAAAATAATTTATTGTAGATTTTTCTTAAAACCGCTCGACTGATTTCGATAAAATTTATATGGGACCACCTGAAAAGTATACTATTTAAAGCAAAAAAAAGTTCCAAATCGGTTCAGACGTCTTTAAGTAATCGGCGAACATACATAAAAAAAGATTCCGACGAATTGAGAATAGGAGATTCTCAGATCTCTCCTTTTAGGAAGTCGGTTAATGAAACACGTGTTGACCCTATTAATTATGGAATCCTAATAAATGTGACAATAACACCCCCCAAATTCAAGTGGACGTTAACATTTAAAAAAAAATCGTTCAATTTTCAGATAGGGCTCTACTTTTTGAAAAAATAAAAACATTGTATGGTCGTCCTGAAAAACCACCCTTAAAAATTGTAAACTACATTTATTTCAATTATCATTGAAGAAGTGTACTTTCTTGACTAAATTTATATAAACTGATTATACAATGTATTTTTAGGGAAAAAACGAAAAAATGGTATTCTTAAGGTTTTAATTTGACGCTCATTATTTACTAGTGACTCACCCTCGCTCCGCTCAGGTTCGTCCCTACTTACGTTTTAACGTTTAGTATAGATTTCTCAGAGATGCGATATTTTCCAGCAATAAAAAGGATCCTTAATGTTGACCCGGATAACCATCCGATACTTTTTATGTATGTGTATTTATTTATTTTAGGCAAAAAATGGTCTCATCGGCGTAAACTACTAACGCAAGCATTCCATTTTAATATTTTAAAAAGGTATACAATGACGTTTACTGAGAAAACTCAATTTTTTTTACAACTACTAGAAAAGCAAGTCAGCGAAGAACGAGTGAACATAATACCCTTGATCACTTCTACAACGCTTGAAATTATGTGTGGTATTTATCTGCATTTTATACTTTATTTTATATAGCATTTGTTTATTGATCTCCATCTCTGTCTCTCTCAAATTTTTAACTTTGAAGATCTTACTAAATCCATATTTTCAATAATTTTCACAGAAACTGCAATGGGAACCTTAATGCAAGATGATATGAAGTCTGTTGCAAATAAATATTGGAAAGCAATAGAAATCATAGGCTTATCAGTATTCAATAGACTTCGAAATCCATTAATACATTCCAATATCATTTATCAATTGACGAACAATGCTAAGACACAAAATAAGGCACTAGCAGACGTGCACTTCTTCACAACAAGAATAATCCAAGAAAGAAGAAATTTCTTAAAAGATAATAATATAAATACTTTTGGTGACAGCAAAGATTATGGAAAGAAAGGCAATGTGGCAATGTTGGATTTACTCCTTCAGAATCAAAAAATAGGAAAAATAGATGACGCCGGTGTTAAAGAGGAAGTTGATACCTTTATGTTCGAGGTACGACTAAAAGTGAACTGAATGATGTAGTTTTATACAATTAATTACAAATAACAATGAAACTGGAATTAATTCGTAGATAAATTACTAAGTACAATAAACAGTATTTGAAACCCGTACATGTTAAAGGTGCAAAGTTATTCCCATAAACGTTAAAATAACATTAAATATAGCGCAGGTTAAAGAGCCATATTCTTTTGAAAGCATGGGTATCTTTAGTTCTTTAGAAGGAATTTTAATTGTCTACTATGTAATTATTATTTTAGTTCCTGGCTCGTTTGAACATAGTTTATTAAACAAAATTTTTGTGTAAAATGAAATTTGCAGAATTTATCCTCCATTAATTGGCGTAGTTTAAATAAATTAAAAGTAAAATCAATTTGTTATTTAAAGGGCACTGCAAGTTAAAAGGAACAATTAAAGTGTTTTTGACAATTTTTTATTTTTATATACTAGAATTTCTAGACGATTTTGAGAAATGCCGTTATGAAGGTAATAAAACCCAAAATTGGAATATTTTTAGGAAAAACACAATCGCTTACATACTTTATATTTCGGCTCTTCTTAAGAAGCTTAGTCTGAAATCTGCTTTTCTGAAATTCCATAACTATCCAACTACTAACAGATGAACATTCATGGGCGTTAAATTGATAGGTATTCTACCACCAAAATACTCCTGTTACACCTGTATGTGTATATAGTACGAAAGATTTTATATCTTTAATTTGAAGATATTATGCTGTATTTACCTAAATACAGTAACTACTAAGCGTAACTTTATTTGTGTAATTTATTTATTATTATATCATAATTATTTGACAGGGACATGACACAACGGCGCAAGCAATAATTTACTTGCTAATGTTGATAGCAAATGAGACTACAGCTCAAGTAAGTCAAGCATGCTGTATTAAAATTATTTATACCATACTACTTGCTAATCTATGTAGTTATAGTGAGATATTGTTTTATGTGGTGCAGGATTTCAAAGATTTGTTTTTATGTGTAGTGTATTTTGAGAGGGCCGAAGGCAGGAAGGATGGTCTAAGCAAAAAGAAAGAGGATCCCTAGTGAATATCTAGATAATAAAAACCTCCATAGTCTATGATAAAGACTTAAGGTCAAAGTCAATCATTCATTCTGCGTTGAACATTCTATTCTGATTAAATTTCTTAAAAGTAACAGCACTGGTAACTTTTATGATATGAAGTAAATAATACCTAACTAGCATTTCAAAAATTCACAATTCTTAAGAATATTATATAGCTGTATCACATCTGAGAGTAAATCATGTCGATAAGTTCGTTGTTATTTCTCAATAATTTTATTTCGAATTTCAGAACAAGATTTATGAAGAAATGAAATATATATTTGGTGATTCACAACGGACACCAACGATGGAGGATCTACTCAATATGAAATATTTAGAATGCTGCATAAAAGAAAGTTTACGGCTTTACCCAAGCGTACCAATAATTATGAGATATTTAAAAGATGAAGCAACTTTAGGTTAGTAAATGATTTGGATGATGAGATGTCAAGATAGATGAAACGACTCCTTAATTAATAGATTTTAATGAAATTTAATCCAGGATATACTATGTTTAGATACTGTCCAAAACACTGCTCCATTGACTAGATTAAGACTTGAAGATGAATATTTGATCATGGTGTTGACAATGGACTTTCTTACCTAATGTTTAATGGTTTTTATTTTATATTTTAAGTTAAAACGTAACAATCTAAATAGTAGCACTAAAACATTGTTGGGTGGTCTGTAATAACAATATTAGAATTTGATCCTGACTGTAACAATGCTATTTCAATATATTTAGAAAAGTAATCTACTACTAATAGGTATTTACTGTTATCAAAATCAAAGAGATCTGTACCTATTTTATACCAAGGAATTAGTTTATAATCATGACATATAATAGGTTCTTTAGAATTATTTCTCTGGTAAGTAAGACAAATATTACATTGATTAACATAAAAAATAAAATAAAAATTAATTTAAAATACCTACTTCCAAATTAGGTACACAAATTAATGTTAAGTTTTAATTAAAAATAATAAATAAGAGTTCTTGGTAAAAAATAATGTTTCTTCTACTCTGGACTTTTAAAATTTTAATTTCGGATCGCCAAACATATATAAAAATACTAAGTGAATACTAAAACTAACGTAGATATAGAAAGTTTGTATGTGAATGTCATAGAATAATACTTACTAGATTAGGTCCGAAGGTAATAAAAAAATATTTTGGTCCGACTTCAAAATATTAGAATAACTATTAAAAAAAATATATATATATATTTTATTTAGTACCGGTTTATTAGTGTAGCATTAATGTTTTAGAAGTCTGATTATTAAATTATTTTTTATTGTTTTATTTCGTAAAGAACTATCTTTAAGGCAACTTTAAACTTAGCAGCTATATGGGCTCTATATTTTTCAGGTGATTATGTTTTACCTTCAAATACGCACATCCACATACCAATATATGATTTGCATCGTCGCGAAGATATCTATCCAGAGCCTGAAAGTTTTATCCCTGAAAGATTTCTTCCTGAAAATATTGCAAAACGACACCCTTACGCCTATATACCCTTTAGTGCTGGACCCAGAAACTGCATAGGTAAGGAGTCAAGATTAAAATAACTGAGAAGTTATGAGGTATAATATAAATTATAATTAAAAATGTCTTTATACTTAAATTCTATACTGCCTTCTATCTATAGTTCAGAGGTATATATAGTATGTATAATTTTGAAGATAGCTAGTTATGATTATTTTTACATTTTTTTTTATTTCAGGACAAAAATTTGCCATGTTAGAAATGAAAACACTCGTATCCAGTTTGTTGAGGCGATTTCGACTGGAAGCTGTGACTAAGCCGAGTGATCTAATATTTCGAACTGATATTATATTACGTACAGATAGAAATCCGATATATGTAAAATTTCATAAAAGAGAATAAGCTTTTAATGATAAAATATGTTCGTATTCAAAGAAAAGATATTTTATTTTAGTATGTATTTGAAATTATATTTTAAAAGGTGTTTTCTCAACAATCGTACTTATTATTCAATTCAATTATTGATGATGATGAGCTACAAAGCTTTTAGACGTGCTAGTTAACCCTTATTTTAGAAGTTGGTCATAAAATAAGACGAAATTTATTTATCTTGATTCTTTGATCTTTCAGATTCCTCAAAATATAAAAAATAAATCTACTCCCCTACCGTTAAAAAAATCGGTCGAATCTGTAGATAACTTAATTTTTTCGATCGATCGAAGAAAATTTCGAATCTATAGACTTGTCCGCCCTAGCGGAGTTTAGCGATAAGTGGCAGAAACTGTATAATAATATAAAGGACACAATATAAATAGTCCAATGAGCCTTTAATTTGCATTAAAATACAAACAAAATAGAAGAAATAAGACCATACAAGCATTCCTCACGCATTAAAACATGCTCGACTTTTGAGTTTTAATGCATTATTTAAAATGAAAACTCAAAAAAACAAATTCGAGGATTCTCCTGTTACAAAACATAGGCGAGTGTCGCATTTCAAGCAATACACTACAGTTTTTTTACTGTAGTTCATGCACCAACCTTATTGCTTCTCTGAAAGAAAATGTCTAAGGAAATAGTCTCTCAGTAAGAGACACTGACGGTGTAACGTTTTCGTGTCTTACAAAGTGAGTGTCCATGAGTTTACGTAGGTATTTTAAGTACGTACGATAGTTTCAGTAGTTAGTGGGTAGAAGTTTGTTACATGCATATATGAAGGTACGTAAACTAAATAGACATAGTTAAGGTTACTTTTCGGCACGTAAAAGTCAAAACTAGTTGTAAGTACATATTTTGACAGAGTCCGTTGTGACTGACAAGGTAATGATGAAAATGTATCGACCAGGGCCGGTGTGGTAGACAAGTAAACAAATCGTTATTTACAGCGAAAAAAAAAGAGCAAAATCGGTGAAATTTGTATTATTTGAATGGTCGTAACGTAATTTATAAAAACATACCGAAAAACTAGGCAACATAAACAATAAAAATATTTTTCAAGTAGAATACCTGAAAGGTTGTTGTAGTGCAAAGTTTTGCCGACATTTTTTTGACAACTGTCTGACATGTAGGTAGTCACAACCATTTTTTTTTAATATAGCGTGATATATCTAACAACAGTTTCGAATCATTTTGATGTTGAAAATAGAAACAGACACTTTTAAGTAGATACTTGTCCGATAGTTAAACAAAATTTAATTCGTAAAAACGGAGGAAAACTTTATTATTATTATTATGTTTTACCTTCAAATACGCACATTCACATACCAATATACGATTATTATTGATAATGATAATTATTGATGTTGTGCTTTTAGGCATGCTAGTTAAGCAAAATTTATTTCTCAAAAATGGAGGAATCGCAATGGAAATTGGCCGATCTTTAAATATTATTTTTATAATAAATTATAATATAACTTAATGAAAACTATTTTTTCTTCTATTAGATATATACTTGTAAATAAATTAAAGTTTATATGAGATTTTAAAATTCAACCACTGTACATAGGTTATGTTATCACATTCACGCTTAAGCAAAATACTAAAAAAAAAACAGTTTTTTTTTTTCGATTTTACGAATATTTTATTCTTATATCGATAATATTATCATGAACAAGAAATTTAAAATGTTGGACTTTGTTAATGTCAATTAAGCCGTGCTTGGCCACTAATACCAAAATCGCCATCGTGACGAAAATTATGCATGCCTGCATGTCTGAGAAGACTTAACTAGTTTCCGAAAAACATACGAAGTCTGTAAAGCCACAATAGGTCCGCATGATGGACTATGACCAGATTCCCTTCGTGTAGAATGCTGCTGGGCATGAGCCTCCCTCATGCCCAGCAGCAAGATCAAGCAAGCCCAGAAGCAAGTAAGACGTTAAAAGAGTTGATTTGTTGTCCCCGATTTCTCAACGATCAACAAATCTGACTAAGAGTTTGTAATCTGTTGAGATAAATTCAATTGGATCTGATCTTTACTTAATAATACACTTTTGTTGCGTTCCAAGTTACATATTGTTATAGACAGTAATAGTGTGTTTCTTAGGAACGAGGATCTGTGTGATCTATGGTTGCCGTTTATAATTTTTAATAAAATGATTGACAGGTCGATTATTCGATAATTAATTTATACCTTAATATGGTAGTATAACAACCCAAAATATACAGTGACTGACTCACGACGACTATTTCTTTTTGAAATACAAAAAAAAACGTATACGTATCATATCGTATATGCCACCTTCTTAAAAAATGCAGTTTTTCTTATTTTTGAAAATAAAATAATGTTTTTCTTTTGACTGAATCTTGATAATTTCAGTGTTTAAGACACTTTTCTTCCATGTCCTGTGCGTTTATTCCACAAAGTTACAGAGATATGTATAATTTGTAAGATTTCATTGTTTTCTTTAATTCTAAGACGCAATGTTTGTTCGAGAGATTTTATCCTTGCCATAGAACCTATGAATTAGTTCGATAAAATAGTGACGGTGTCCTTTTTTGCATTTTTATTAGGTTCGATTTCCGGTTCAGGTAAGCTTTTTAAAAAAATTTAAATGAATTTATTATTATTTTTTAAATAACGAAATGTTTCCTTTGAGTAAATCTTGGTAACTTCAATATTTAAAGTACTTTTCTTTAATGCCCCATCGCTTTGTTCCACACAATATTTATACATATATATATGATGATATATATGATGTTCTCCTGACCGATTCCGGCTACGGCGGCCAATCTCATTGAGACGAGCCAACTGCGCAGGAAATATTATAGTATACACAAGTGTACGCACAGATACAGGTGAACTCTCTATTCCTATCACTCTCATACTCCGGTGGGACGACTGTTCGACACGACCGGTGAGAGTTAAGGCGCAGGACCGACGGCTTTACGTGCTCTCCGAGGCACGGGGGTAAAACACCGCCAACTTCCCAACTCCGGGCTGTTACTGAGGCTTAATATACAGAAAGACTCAATAACTTAACTTGGCCTGACCCAGGACTCGAACCCAGGACCTCCGGGTGTGCAGCCGTACATGCTAGCCACTATATATATATATATATACAAACATTACCGTGTACTTACCGTGGTAATGTTATAATTACCGTGGCAACGGCCAGTTCTATTTTTTATGCTTGTGACGTAGTTGCTATGCAAAAGTTATAAATTCCAGCGCGGGTAGCTCACGCCCGCGCCCGCTCCCGTGCCACCAACGGCGCCAGTTGGTCTCTCGTACCTACGCTATATGGTCGCAACTTACGTTCCGCTTGCTTACAATACTATACATTCGAAACTGTTCCTCTTATTTTCCCTGCTTACTTTTCGCATCTACGAATATATTAAGTTGTAACTACTGTGCTTGATATAATATTCTCCTTCTCCTTCCTATATCTTATGGACTACTTGTACTATTTGTATTAATCCCTCCACGACCGCGGACACACCGGCATGTCAGTTAACAATAGATTTCTTAGAAATTTAATGTATTTCTTAGAAATTTACCTGGAGGTGTTAAGTAAATATTATAAAGTGAATAATCTCAATTGAACTATGCTTGTGTTGAGCCTTATTTTCCAATTTACGACATTTTCGCCCACATAATCCATCGAACACCGCTCTATCAACACTTTCACTGCACCCACCAACGCCAAAGGGTGTTTTTAGTTTGACTTTGAATTCTTTAGTTTGATTTAAACGCGTTATAGTATAGCCTATTCCATAGGTGCTAACCGTTAAGACGTACCTAGGGACGGAACCGAGCGAAGTGAGGGTGAATCGCTAGTATATGAAATATAATATAACAATACTATGAACTATTGTAAATTTTAAGATTTTTCTAAAAAGATAAAGTAAAATAAAACAAGTTAACTAATTGTTAAAGTCAAACTCTACTTATCAGTAAAATTCACTGAGAAATGCATATGTCTAATAATATAATATATTTTATTACATTCTAGAAGATATAATAAATAAGACTTCTCTCTAAAAAAGATAACTTCAAGCCAACCCATGGAAGTAAGGAATACTGTATAAAACAAAACCTATTATTTAAAAAAAATACAACTTAATAGACAGTTTGAAGTTTTTTTAGGTATCCATAGACAATAGACAATTTTCTTTAATCGTATTTATTGAAGTGAAAACTTCTTTAGTCGCATTGAGCGATTTTCGGTAGGGGCAACCCCTGTGGGTGTGACATGTGATGTGTCGAAACAGTATGGCGCAGGCAGACTGGCGACGCGCAGCGTCATATGTTTTAATTAATAAATAAACTATATCAAACTGTAAATAATTATTGCTCGTAATGCGTAATCTAAAAAAGTATTATGTTAACTTCTTTTTAAAAATCTAACATAAATAGGATCTTTTGTGCGTAATACTAGATCCGATATGAAAACTAAATCATCAGGCTTTGTTACTGGCTCCAATCGATACCTTCTTAATATTCCAGATAACACTATCTTCAGCTCTAGCATGGCAAACTTTTGTCCTGAAAATTTATAAATACAAATATGCTTATAATATAATCATTGATATCATATATTATATATAGTGGATTTCACATGGTTTGTTGCACCACTCAGGGCGGGTGCAACGTAAGAAGCAAGCCCGAGAGATAAGGCTGAGGTATACAAGTTGGAATATTGGGACTATGACTGGAAGAGCGAGAGAATTAGCGGATGGAAGGGTACGAAAGCTAGAGAGATAGGAGAGGGATACAAGTTTTATTACTCTGGGAGTGATGGGAAGAGAAATGGAGTGGGAGTAGTGCTGGATAGTGTTCTAAAAGAGTGTGTCACGGATGTAAAGAGAGTAAATGATAGAATTATTGTTGTGAAATTAGTATGGGAGAGCATGATTATGAATGTTATTAGTGTGTATGCGCCCCAAGCTGGATGCAAAGATGAAATGAAAAGAAATTTTTGGCAAGATTTTGATACGGTTATGATGGATATTCCTGGAAATGAGGAAATTCTGATAGGGGGAGATTTCAATGGACATGTCGGAACAGGGAATGAGGATTATGAAAGAGTGCATGGAGGACGGGGTTTTGGAAATAGAAATATTGATGGTGAAGCCCTACTCCAGTTTTCCTCTTCGTTCGATCTAGCGGTAGTTAACACCTGGTTTCAAAAGTGTGACGAACATCTTATCACATATAAGAGTGGAAACCGTGCGACACAAATCGACTACTTTCTTCTCAGAAGAAATAAGTTGGCCTGTGTCAAAAACTGCAAGGTAGTACCCGGGGAACCCTTAGTGACGCAACATAGGTTACTCATAATGGAGGTCAAAATAAAAGTTGTGGGTAAGAGCGGGAAGAACTGCCCTCCTCCAAGGACCAGGTGGCGAATGTTAGAGAAAGAACAGTATGCAAGTACATTCAGGGAAAAAGTAGAGGAAAAAATGATAGAAATGAATGGAATGCAAGATAAGTCTGTGGATGAATGTTGGAATGAAATGGCAAATTATATAAGAGAGATAGCGCGAGAAGTGTTTGGAGAAACGAAAGGGAAGGGTACTATTGATAGAGATACTTGGTGGTGGAGTGAAGAGGTACAGAGAGCTCTGAAAGAAAAGAAGGAGGCATTTAAAACATGGAAAAATGAAAATGGGAGTGAAAGAATTAAGGAAGTTAAAAAGTGTGAATACAAAGAGTTGAAGAAGAAGGCAAAAAAAGCGGTAGCAGTAGCCAGAGCTCAAGCTCAAAACAGTATGTACAGCCATCTGCAAGAACCAAGAGGGCAAAAAGAAATATACCGCATTGCAAAGAGCAGGGAAGAGAAGGCAAAAGACCTCAAGCATGTAAGATGTATGAAAGATGAGGAGGGAAGGGTGTTGATAAAAAATGAAGATATAAAAGATAGATGGAAGACATATTTCGAAAAACTTATGAATGAGGAGAATGATTGGAGCGGAGTGTTAAGCGATGTGCAAGTTAATATTGGATTAGTGAATGAGATTAGTTTGAACGAAGTTAGAATGGCAGTACGAAGTATGAAAAATGGTAAAGCAGTTGGACCCGATGGTATACCAGTTGAAGTTTGGAAGTTATTGAAAGAGGACGGATATCAGTGGCTGACTTTATTTTTCAATAAGTTGTTGCATGAAGAAGTAATCCCCGAGGAATGGTGTCTCAGTTCTCTCGTGCCCATCTTTAAAAATAAAGGAGATGTACAGGAATGCAACAACTATCGGGGAATAAAGCTCATGTCTCATAGTATGAAAGTTTGGGAGAAAGTAATTGAGAGAAGGGTGAGAGAGGAGAGTGTGATATCACAAAACCAATTTGGGTTTATGCCAGGACGCGGGGCAACAGACGCCATATTTGCAATGCGCCAAATATCTGAGAAGTACAGACGTGCGCACAAAAACTTGCATATGGTGTTTGTTGATCTAGAAAAGGCGTATGATAGGGTTCCCCGAGAGGTTTTGTGGTGGGCTTTGAAAGTAGAAGGAGTGCCTGCTAAGTACGTGGAATTGATTCGTGCTATGTACAGAGAGTCTAGCACTCATGTAAGATCGATCGCTGGGAACACCGAAAAATTCAGTGTCTCTGTAGGCTTGCACCAGGGATCGGCTCTAAGTCCATACCTCTTCCTGTTGGTAATGGATGCTCTGACATCGGACATACAGGGGGAGGCACCTTGGTGTATGCTATTTGCAGACGACATTGTATTGGTCGGAGAAGACGGGTGCGAGGTCCAGAGCAGATTGGAAAAATGGCAACAAAGACTGGAGAATGTTGGCTTAAAAATCAGCAGAACCAAAACTGAATATATGTTCTGCGATTTTGGCGGTCTCTCCAATCCTCAAACCATTTCTCTGGATAAAAGAGCGATAACGGTCTGCTCCGACTTCAAGTACCTTGGCTCCCTCTTTCAAAGCGATGGCGAAATAAACCGGACTGTACATCATCGAATCAATGCAGGGTGGATGAAGTGGCGGCAGGTAACGGGAGCAATTTGCGACCCCAAGTTCCCTATGAAATTAAAGGGACAAATATATAAGACGATCATCAGACCTGCCGTCCTATACGGATCTGAAAGTTGGCCGACAAAGAGAACGGATGAAAGACGCATACATGTAGCTGAAATGCGAATGTTGAGATGGATGTGTGGTGTGACTAGAATGGATAAGGTGAGGAATGAATACATTAGAGGGAGCCTGAAAGTTGCGCCAGTGGATGAAAAGTTGAGAAGCAATAGGTTATCGTGGTATGGACATGTGATGCGGAGGGAAGAGCAAAGTGTGGTGAAAAGAGTTTTGTGTATGGAAGTTAACGGGGACAAGAGAAGAGGACGACCAAAGAAAAGATGGATGGACTGTGTAGAAGAAGATATGATTAGAAAGGGAGTAAGCAGTGAAATGACGAATAATAGAGTAGAATGGAAGAATAAAACATATTGCGCCGACCCCAAATAAAAATTGGGACAAGGGCAGGAAGAAGAAGAAGAAGTGGATTTCACATGGTTTGCTTCTTGACTCATGGTGTAGCTGATAGTTCATATTTTTATTGAAATTAAATATGTAAGTCACAATTGATATCTATTATAAATAATATGTAAAAATTGTTGTTACCTATACAATTTCGTGGTCCAGCGCTAAAGGGTATAAATGCAAAGTGATGTCTTTGCATAGAGTTCTCTGGTAAAAATCGCTCAGGGATAAATTTTTCCGCTTGTGGGTAAATATCTTCGCGATGATGCAAGTCGTATACCATTATATTCGCATGCGTGTTCCTTGGTATAGTGTATCCACCTGGAATATTTGTAATACATATTATAGTTATGAACTCATCAATGACTAGAGACTCACCCTAGCTTCGTTAGCTTCGCCCCTATGTACCTATATATAATAGTTTTACAATAATGTATAAAAGTCTGCCCGATTTGTTGTCATTTATGATTACTTCTCCGCTCCCTCGGATAGTAGCTTGGTGATGTATAGCCTTTAGCCTTCCTCAATAAACGGGCTATCAAACACAAAAAGAAATTTTCTAAGTTCGGATTAGTATTTCCTGAGATTAGTGCGTTCAAACAAACAAACAAAAAAACTCCGTCTCTTTATAATATTAGGAAGCATTGATAGTATAGATAAGTACAGATAATAACTACTTAATTATAGGAAATACTCGTAAATGCGAATTTCAAAAAGTCCAAAAGTTTTTTAGTATGTATTTCTAAAACTTAATGTTTACAGTCTAATTATGTAAATAATAATAAATATGTAAATATATTTTAACTCTATGCCGTACCTAGAGTTATTTCTTTTTTAATAAATCTTCCTATAAATGGTACACTAGGATATATACGCAAACTTTCTTTGATGCAGCATTCAAGGTACTTCATTTCATAAAAATCTTCCGTGGTAGGTTTTCGCTTCGATAAATTAAATATTCTGTCCAGTTCTTCTTGTATTTTTTTCTTCGTGACATAAAATGTATATTTGTATAATGTTTATTTAGAAATGGAAATTACACAATAATGTGGCCGTCAGCGCAAAAGTAGCCTAACCAACTTACAGCTACTTTGGACAAAATGGCTGTTATACTAAAATATTTTCATATTTTTAAAACTTATTTATAGTTTATCATTCATTTATTTTGAACAGAATTTTTATAGACATCTAATAACTAGTATTTCAAAAATAAATGAGGGTTAAGTAATTATTTAATTTGAAATGTTTTCAAAATTTTTAAAATACATTTGCGGGTTAGACCAAATCGTATTATATAACTTTTTCCCACTGTTATTATGATTCTATTCTTATTCACGATACATTAATGCCTACAGTCGTATCTTATTCAGCCTAAGCCACATGTCAGCAATGGCAAAAGTAAACTGAGTGGCTTAAGTTTTTATTGCATTTCCAAACAGTTGAAAAATTAAAACGGAAAATCAATTTTTATAGCGGCATTTTTATTTATAAATGAAACTGCACCCAGGTCTTTTGTAAATGAAACTTTACCATATTAAAAATACTTTATTTAAGTCGAAAAACAAAAAAATGTGGGTTAGGCCGTTCTTGCGTTGACGGCCTTATATGTAGTTTCTATTATGCCACCTATTTATCTGCTTACATATTTTGTAGGGAGGGCTGAAATTCGTTTTACATTCGTTTTTCAGTTTTCGGTACAATTTCGGCAGCTTGAGCCGAACTTCGGCACTCGGCCGGAATTCGGTTTGAATGCCGAACATTCGGCAATCGAAAACAAATACCTACTTGCACTATTTTGACTAAACTTAATAGAAAGCATGTCTGACATAACAATAAAATAGATTCTTTTATATACTCATTGGTCCGATCGGAATCCGGTTTGGGGGAAAAAATTAAAACCTGAAGTTATTTATCTTCAAAACGTTAGCAGGTATATAAGAAACAAAAATCCGTAAAATAACCCCGATGTCCACGTCCCCGTGTGACGTAGGCTATTAGATTACTTTAAAAAGAAAACATAAAAATTTAAATTTAGGTAGTAATTAATTTTTAACTTTTTTTACTTTTAACTATTGTTTACAGTGAACGCTACGTACACTTGTAATAGATATACATATCAGGTACTTAATTTATATTACTAATAAGATTATCAGAAATGTTTTATGTGTGTATTGTTAGTGAGAGATAAATAAAATAAAAAAATAAATAAAATGTCTAGCTACCCCCAAGTAATGGGGAGATGAAAAGCGTTGAAAAATAGTTTATCAATTTCCGGCTTACTTTTAGTAAAAAAAATTGTAGTAAAAATAGTTATAGTAAAAATCATAGCTAAATATTTCAATTTCATTTTTTTTTTATTGTATGTATTTCGAAGACTACATTCCGCTTCATTCATGAAAATTAAAAAAATATTGCAGAAATTAAAAATAAAAAATTAAGAAAAGAAACATGTCTATGCTTGCTTTTTTATCTCGAAAACTATCATATTATAAAAGATGTAGATTTTTACTAGACCTGCAACTTTTGTGAAGAACACTTTCCGATAGGACGTCACAGTAAGCCGGAAATCGGAAAAAACTATTTTTCAACGCCTTTCATTCCCCCGTTTCTCGGGAGTAGCTGGACATTGGGAGCATTTTACGGATTTTTATTCCTTAGAGCGGTCCCTTACAGGGAGCATTCGCCTGTAAAGTAACAGTTCAGATTCGAGTATTACGTAAATGAATGAGAAGAACTGAGCATTACAGTGCGCAACCTGTACTGATACAATTTGCAACATTACATCAGTGACAGAGAAGAACCGAGCATTACAATGCGCAACATATAATGATACAATTTGTAACATCGTAATATAATGTGTAATGCATATATACTTCTTTAATCGTTTATTCGTTTCTTTTGCGTTTTTTTACGTAAATAACATGAGCGAATCAATATTACCGCGCTCAATATGATCGCTTCGTCCAACATTGTAAAAAAAACAGTCTTGACTGCAGGCGAACACTCAAAATCAAATCTAAATTGTTATGTTACAAATGCGAGGAGGAGGAGAGGCGAATGCTCGTCAGTCAGTGAGGCAGTACTGTAACGTAATGCTCAATATCGATCTAGTTACATTACAGGGGAATGCTCGCCAGTAGATGAGGCAATGCTGTAACGTAATGCTTAACATCGAATCTTAAATTGTTACATTACTGGCGAATGCTCCGTGTACGAGACCGCCCTTATATACCTTCTAACATTTTAAAGACGTTAAACTTCAGGTTTTAATTATTTTTCTATTAAAAATAAACCGTTCCGATCGATCTACATAGTCATTTATTTTAGTTAGGAACATGTAAACCTTAACACGTATGCGATAAAAAAACTATGTTTAAAAAAAACGAGTTCAAAAACTAAAAAGTATAAAATAACTTCATAAAGATTTAATTTTATACACCTCTTATGCAAACCTAATACCTTTAATATTACCACCATGACAAAATTGTTGTGATTATAGTTACCTGCACTTCAGGATGATTTGCAATCGTCATAATCATAAATATCAACGCAGTGGCAGTAGTATCATATCCCTAAATAAAGATACTAAGTATTAATTTCAATTACTTATATTATGGTTATTGCAATTAATGAAAAAATGCATAATCATACGGTTAAGTAAAATTGTAGTGTCTGTTTGTAATGTCAAAATAACAGCTTTTTTCTTAATGCATATGAAAGTATATACGGTACGGGAAAACCAATTTTTAAATGTTTATCTGTCTGTTTACTCCGACTAACATCCGAAACAACTTGACTGATTTTAACGGGATTCCACTGGCAGATAGTTGATATTATAAGGAGTAGCTTAAGCTATTTCATTTTAGAAAAAGAATCAGGGTTTCGTGCAAAAAAAATGAAGACCCATACTCTTAAAATTGTGAACAAAATCCACGTAACTAGTGACGCTGGACGTGTTGCTGGTTACGTATACACAATATTAAGACAATATGTATATCATATAAGTATTTACCTCAAATAAAAACGTGTCTATTTCTTCCCTTATACCCTTTTCATCGATTTCCATGTCAGCTTCTTTTTCTAAGAGTAAATCTAATAATATGAGATTAGCTCTACTTTTATATTTAGAGAGATTACTACATTTTTCCGGTCTATTATCTAATAAAGCTTTTCTTCTATTGTCAATTATGTTTTTTGTAAGCACATGAATATCTTCAACCACTTTTTTTTGTGTTTGTCCTATTTTAGACAAATTGAAAGTGAAGTCAAAAAAGTACCAAACTCTACACAGCCTCTCAACAGCACATTCTCCAAATATTTGAATGGCTTTAAAGTATTTGTCTATAGCTAGTCCTGAACTATTTTGTTTTGATACACCAGTTAAAGTCTCTATAAAAGAATATTTCCAAATTAGAACGAAAATATTTATTTACTATTGTAATATCGTAGCATTATTTTCAAAGAAGATAATTTTATTAAAACGTACCACACATTATTCTAAAAGAAGCATGTGTTATCAAAGCATGAAGATTTATTTTCGTTCCTAAGCCTTTCTCTTCTATAATTTCTAGCAAATCCTCAGTGTGATGTACAAAAGTATCTACAAATTTCTTCAGAAGATTGATGTGAAATACTGGTGTTAACATTTTCCGCCTGCGATGCCACTTATTACCTGTTTACGGTAAAAATTTTAAAATGCGAACTTACGCACACCACATAAAGTACTTGAACTTTGAGAACGAAACGATTTGTTTTAATTTTGTCCTCCGAAAAGTAATGAGCAAAAGAGATTTGAAAAAAAAATGTTATTCAATTTCGAATTGCGCACTTTTTTTGAGGACCCTTTTGATACGCTAATTGTGTAACTGAAGTTTTTGTAGATCAATATATTATAATTTAATTATTATGTGATGATGAATGTATGTTATATCATTGTTAATCCCATATGGCGGACTCCACCGTGATATGGGCATCGAATGAAAAGTTTTTCTGAGAAGTATACAGAAAAAAAGTAAAAAACATTAAAAAAAGTTACAACTTAAAAAAAGAAAGAATTATAACTTTTTCGTGTATACGTTTACACACATACTTTTTTTATTAATTTAAAACTTTAATACAAATTGTTTCATAAATTAAAAGTACCTATATACGAGTAAATAATAGAATTAATTTTAATAACATTTCTTACCATTGCTTATGAGAAGTCCGTCACTAAGCCACGGTCTTAAGAAATCATATGGTACTTTCTTATCATTGAACTGCGTGGTTGAAAATATTTTCTGAAAAAAAATTATAATTTAAGGTCAGATAGTGGCACTAACAAATTACAAAGTAAACATGTAAATAGTAGTAGGTAAAGTAAAAATAAAAGGAAAAATCTTGTCTACAAAAGACACGTTTGACTCAGTTTGTAGTGCTTGCTGAGCCAGCTATCGCGGATCGAGTGTGCGGATTTGTGTGATGAACACGAATGTTTGTACACCAATCCAGGGTGTTTATATTTATAATATGTATGTATTTAAAGTTATATATGTGTAGTACATCAAATAACAGGTATCCATAACACAAGCCTCGTTTACGATTATATGGTTATGAAATTATTAATGAACATGATTTCTTGTTCTCTTTTTTGTTAGAACATGAACAACTCATATGCCCAAATTAAAACTATTTGAAATAGTTACCTCGATATCTTGAGGATCATAGACGTTCACACATCTAAAGTTAATTGAATGCAATTGGACCAAGCCTTTATAAGTGTTATAAAGATGCCTCGAAAACTGAAATAATTTATCTGCAACATATTTTTGTTTGTACATATTTTAACACATTGACATATTTTATGATCTCATAATCTATTCCAATATATACATATTTTAGTATACACGTACACGTATGTATATATATATATATATATAAATAGAAGGGTCCATACAAAACGTCTTACCTTAAAATTATTTTACTATAATTTTACATACATTTCATTTTTAAATGTATAAATATATTTTTTTTGCAAATATATATAATACCTTTATAATAATACCTTTATTTCTTTCTGCATTAATATGTTTATAAAAATTGAATATTTTTGAACGGCTTACCTATGCTAAAATTTCATCCTTCGCCACTGATATAATATATAGTATATACATAGTAAATATAATAATGTTCAAATAATAAATAGACTTGTTTATTTTATAAATTATATTGATTACATAAGATATTTTAAATGGGAAGAATGCATTCCCTGTTAATATATGTTACGCGATATGGTCGCCAATGATTAATCTTTTTTAATAGCTTATACCACAAGGTACACAGAGGGAATAAAAATCCAAGCCTAAGTTTAATTACACAATCTTATTTTTAACTAGCGTCTCATCCTCGCTCGCTTGTTGTGATTTTTTAAATTGACGTAACTTTTTTATTTATAAACCGATTGAAAAAAAGCAAACACTAAATATTAAGTGAACACAAATGCACAGACAGACAAACAGATAAAAATTCTAAACATCACTGTATTGCGTTAATAAAGACCCTCAATAATATTACTTTTTCTCAAATATCTTTCATGTACAAACAGCGATATCAGTATCTTAACCACTAGAATGCCGCGCTTTATGACATGTAACATCCGATAAACACCGAGCCCGCGCGTCATTTTTCCCCAATACAACCATGACATAAAAAAACACTCTTAATTCAAATTGTAGAGCATCTATTTATAATGTGTAAGCTATTTTGAGTTTTTAAATAATATGAGCATTTATGACAATATATAAAATAAACTTTAAACTATTGATGAATTATAAATAAGTTGAAAATATATCAGTGTTAGCTGAAAATGTAGTAGTTGTTGTATTAAATTGATTTCTGACAATATCACGGTTTAAATTTACACTAAATTTGAAACACTATTTTCTGAATAAACACGTACCTAATCGCAAAAAATCATTTCTTGATTTATTTATATTAGTTGTTAGTTACAATCAAATTTAAACCTTTAAGCACTCGCGGCTCGTTCGTTGTACCTATTTGTGCAGCTTACGCGCAATTTTTATAACAATCATCCGAGTTACAAAGTGTGGATTCTTAATGAAAGAAATACTAAAATACGGAATAGTTCTTACTTCAAAAACATGCACCAATAAATCTTGAAAATAAGCCACTTTAATTAAAATTCGGATGGAAGATATAAGTGAGAAAAAATGAGGTTATTTTTTATAGACACTCGTTTTGAATTATAATTAACGTTTCTGTATATAAATTTATCTCAAATTATAAAATAACAAGCTAAGCATTATCACATATATGAAAACATAACACTTCATTCAAAAAACTAAACATTTAAATATGTAAAGTTGACTGAAATAATGTATGGATTTATACTGATAATATTTTGATGCGTAGTGATGCTGTACTCCACATTCCACAACATTAAAAACTATCGATTATTTTCGTGAATCGTTAAACGCAAATAAACACAATTACAATTTTTATATTTCTTTATAGCAATAAAAAGTACGTATTTAAAAAATAAAAATAGGTGTAATAAAGTAATGTAATTTTTTGGACAAATTAGGTTCAAAATTATTAAATAAAGTGCAATTTTCATAAAAATATAACAAATAAAATGATTATAAAAAGTCGATTTACTCTATAATATTTACTATTACTATAGCATTTTACAGTTCTATTAGACCGTCGAAGCAGTCAAGGAACGCTTATTTTATTTCAGACTAGCGACTCACTCTCCCTTAGCTCAAGTTCGTCCCTAGGTATGTTTTAACGGTTAGTACGGAATAGAAATAACTTGTTTTCCCGTGGACACGAGATAGTCTTCCGCGGTAAAAAGTAGCTTATTTCACTTTTCAGCTCTCCATCTACCTTCACACAAAAAATCATGAACATTTTACACTTATTAGTATCTCAATAGTCGCAAAAAATTCTAAGAATAAATATTTATACGTTTACGGCACAAATTCACTAGTTTAAATATTTTAAAATAGACAAAAACAATAACGAATCACGCGCGCTTCACTTGAAATTCAAACAATTTTTGATGCGTTTGTTTTAATGTTGTTGGCATTTAATTAAAATTTCATTTTATTATTTAGTAAATAAAAATTCTAAAGTTTGTTGTATCACTAATTGAGCATAAAATAAACTAATTTCGTCGTGTAATAAGTGATAAAAGTGCAGCGGGCGAGGTGGTACCTATAGGCACCAGCGGTGTTCAAGTGATTAATACGATTACATTATAGCAAAATATTACACTCTTATATATACATATTATGTACAAACAAACAATCAAAATTACATCACGGTATACATTTACCTGGTGGTAAAAGAAATTGGAAAGCATTGCCTAATATCGGCAATCCTTTTGGTCCGGGTATTGAAGCAATCAGCCTCCCTTCTCTAGAGAACCGTAAGTAAAAACACCATAACACACAAATAAACACTGCTGTTATTAGCAACATCATTTTAAAAATTATTCTATATGAATTAAAATTCACGGTTTATATATATTTTATTTCGACTATCATGAATTACATTAATATTATCGGTCATTTACTTTGCAAACTGTTTTAACTTAACCCAATTATTTTATATACTATTACTTACACAATCAATAGTTATATAAATAATTCAAATAGCACTATTAATAATCATAAAGGATAGGTATATGGACAAATAAATATATTACTTACTTGTTCTGAATCCTAAAGACTGTAAACGAATACCCAGAATTTGTTTGGACAACCTACATTTAATGAGATATTATCTCCTTACATTCAAAGGTAGGTTTGGCATTTGCCAGCTGTCAAATTTGCGGACCAAGACGCATAAAACTGTGGCGCAATCCCATGGCTATTGTGGTCTTCTTCTGCCGTCGGTGCGTTGTAGCTTAGTACGTAAGTGATCCTGCGAGGCCACATTGTGGGAGGAGGTTTTTTTGGGTTTTAATGGGTAGTATTTTCTACCCGATGAGTCCCACATAATCACCTGTTTATATACAGGTGGTATGTGTAAATGCATTTTCAAATATTAAAAAAAAAATAAGGCCCTTTAAATCTCACATCTTCCATTCATTGTATTATAGAGGTACCTTTAACCCATTCACATTTATATCCAACTAGCGACTCACTCTCGCTTCTCTCGGATTCGTCCCTAGGTATGTTTTAAATTAAAATGGGTAATATTTTATCCTTAAGTGACAGACATATGCCATCGCGAACTTTTCTGTAGACCTATATAAAGTACACAATTCCACCACACATTATATTGTTAGGTATATCTCAAAGGGTTTAGGCAGCGTTTTCTGACAGCTTATTTTTTTTCTGACACCTCCAACAAATATCGTTACATTTTAGCCAATGTATACAAAAATTTAACAAATTGTATATTAAAACCTTTTTCGAGAACCACTCTATCCATTGGTGAAAACAGCATGAAATCGGTGCAGTAGTTTTTGAGTTTATCGCGAACAGACAGACAGACAGACGCGGCGGAGGACTTTGTTTTATAATATGTTCAATGTACATAGTAATACTGTTTTGCATATACAATTTTCTTCTTTCTTTATGATCCTAACTTGTTAACCTATTAGTACCTACTTAGCTTCTGTTATTGGTGCTCTAATTATTATACTAATTCCTAGTCTTGTCCCGCATTATATAATATTATCCGCGCTATGATCTGAATGTATTATGATGATGCATGATATTTTTGGACCACTTTTAAAAGGTAAATGAAAAAAAAAAAAACAATTTAACTTTTAAATGTAATTTTATTGTGTTTTGTTTATGTCTTCTACATTAAAGTTCTAGTGTTATAGTAAATTATTATTTTGTTGAGTTTAGACTTAGCCTAAATCCTTTAATTTTTAAATAATTGTCAGGTTTACCGTTTAACATCTGTTGTCAAAACGTATTTCTGGAAATTCGGTATTTTTTGCTATTTCAAGTATAAACGGATTAATGTAATCTCTACTCCACATAGTGAAGCTGTCCCAAAGAAGATGTGGTGCAAACTGAAAACATATACATGAGAAAATAAAAAAAAAGAATGAGTGTAACCTTTACGCGCAGTTGAAGTAAAACTTTTTTGACGCTGTGGCAGATACCGATTAAATTAAAACAAATCAAAATATCAATATAACATTTTTTATTAAATCATTAGTAATATGGGATTGAGGATATCAGCAATAAAATCACCGCACCACAATCACCACACCATAATAAATTTGATTCTCATTTCGGCGACACTTCTCACACTCGTTTTTCCATAGAATTGCCTTACCACTGTGACACCCAGTACGTGACGCACAGTCATGCCTAAAGAAGTTTTACTAATTACTTCAAAAAATTAACTCAAATATTTAAATACTTTGGCGTGAGAACAAAATACTGAATTTTGAGATTTTTATTCACATTTAAATACAGCCGAGCAATACATAGCACATAGTATCTTGTAGTTACAAAATTTTCATACAATTTTTATTTTGTTACCTTTCTTCGCAATAAATACACTCAAATTACTTAAATGTTTAACTCTAAGTGTTTAACTAATTGCTTTCGTCAAAGGTTTGGTTATTTTTCAGAAGCATTGCCTATGGCATGCTTGTATAATAATTCTATTACGTGATATTTATGAAATATTCATAGTTTAAATATTGAAAATATCTTACATCTCTAGAAATCATTTCCGATACGCTATTTCTGGGCATATATTCCATTCTGGCAAAGCCTCCCTGAACTGACATCAATAGCGAATTTAAAGATATTTCATGTGTATTTAAGTTTTTGAATATCTAAAAAACAGTAAAGTATATATAAAATGAGTTTTATATCCCTTACTTAAGAAATTATTGATTCCCTATAAAAACTTTGATGAAAAAGGGGGATGCCACTTTTCACCCCCTTAAAGGATAATTTTTGGGATAAATCTATCTTATGTCCTTTCCAGGGTCTCAAATTGTCTTCATACCCATATCATACCCAAATCGGTTTAGCGGTTTTTTAGTTTATTCATTACAAACAAAAATATTTTATTTTTCTCTTTATAATATTAGTATAAACATAGGTCACATAATACTATATAAATGAGTAGGAAAACCATTCCCACATTTAGTTTTTAATATAAGTATGAATGATTTTGCAATACCAATACTAGCTTCTTACGGAACAAAGTAATCTTTTTGATTAGAAAACAAAATAAACTCTATCGCATCATTGAAAGCAAATTCATACTAACCGAATACTGCGTTGATACTACATTGTACATATATAAGCCAGTAAAACGTTGGGAACCGGAATCCTCTAGGTTTACGTTAACATCGTAGCCTATTTTCATATTTCTGAAATGAAGTAAACCTCGTGCTGAAGCAAGGTTTTCCACAGTACCATTGACGTTTCTTGATGAAAAACCGTCCTGTAAGTTACTAACGTCAATTTTTTGTATGGCCACAACGAACCCATTTGTATAATTTACAGTCCCTTGGGCATGCCATTTGAACAAATGTTTGCTGTAAAATAGACATTCTTTTAGTAAATAGTACGATTTTTTTAAACTAACACGTATTTTTTTTCTTTGAAGTCCCTAATATTCCTTTATAGCACAGCTCATACAATTATATGTACACATAATTTGTTGGTACTGTGGTCACAACAAGTACAGTAAAGGCCAGTGATTTAGTAATTTATATCGATCCAAAAGAGATGTTATAAAAAAATGGTCCATATTATTTAGCCCATGACTCAGGGAACAGTACAATATTAAGAAACATACTATTTTATAAGTAAGTTAATATATTTATATTTTAATCAGTCATTAAAGTGAAATAAACATATTTTAATATACTCACTTTATAACTCTATTTAAGTCAAGTAACTTCAAGTTGCTCCATTGCACATCTGTCTCAACTTTAGTTACGGTCTTCTGGATGATTTTCATAAAGTAATCATTACGATTCACTAAACATGCTCTGGAATCTAAAAAATGGTGTAATATAAAATAATTTAATAGTATATCTTTCATCGCTCTCTCAATCTAATAATGTTCTAACCGATTTTAGCCACGGCGGTCAATCTCACTAAAACTAGCCAGATGCACAGGAGATATTGTAGCGCACCAGTGTTCGCGCAGACACGTGTTGTGTACTCTTTATTCCTTTCACTCTCAAATTCCGATGGGACGATACTTCGACTGGATCGGTGAGAGTTAAGGCAAAAGACCGACAGCTTTACGTGCTCCTTGAGGCACGAAGATGAAACATCCCCAACTTCTCAACTCTGGGCTATTACTAGGACTTTTTTTAACAGAAAGACTTTACAACTAATCTTGGCCCGACCTAGGACTCAAATCTAGGACATCCGAATACATGCTAGCCACTACACCATCGAGGCAGACTTCAGTTTAAAATGTAAATCAAATTTAAGTAGAACTTGCACATCATGGGTTCCGACAGACAGGACAGGAATTACTTGATGTTGCAGTAAAAAGTAGTCTATTATACAGTAAATATACAAAATAGATACAAAATCCACCTAAAACATAGCGTAAAGCCCAAACATGAGGCAATAATTATGTTCTTAAAGATAAATTTCGTAATTTAATTCAATCAAGACATGACACTTCGTCTTATCGCCTCTACTGGTGATAGGAGAGCTGGTGCATTTTTCGCCCAAAGAACAGTGATAATTAAGAGTAAATTCGTTTTGTATATATAATTAAGTATATTTGTTATTTTAATGTTGTTGAATGTGAACAAAAACAAATTAAAAAAAAGTTTCATCATTTATTTTTAGCTTTTACATAATATTAGTATTAGTACCTACTGTAATTTTACTTACCTAAGTTTTGACAATTCACTATAAATATAAATAACGAGAACAAAAGTACGGCAAAAAATTTGGACATATTAAAAATATCTATTATAATATTCAAAACAAAAGTATTTTTTTAAATGAGTTATACTTATTTAAGTATTACATATTAATCAAGAGATATAGATAAAAAATGATAAATTTGACGTCAACGCTTAAATACAATGTAACAAATAGGTACATACATGTACATAACACGAGAGCGTGAATAATTATAAATAACAAAAAAACTATGTTTAAAAAAAACGACTTAAAAAACTTAAAAGTATAAAATAACTTAATAAAGATTTAATTTAATACACCTCTTATGCAAACTTTATTAATACCTTTAATATTAATAAAATACTATTATTTGTATGTGCTACCTATTGATAGGTTTGAAGTCGGTGCCAAGCCAAATTTAATAGTAGGGTACCTACACTCGCCGCGATCTGAGAAATCTATACATTATATAACTTGCATTTGCCCGAAGTTTTGCTTTTGCAGTCTTATGTATACGTAATTATTTCGCTCCTACAGGTTAAAGCGTGAGTTAGTCTATAATTTGCCTAAATAATCCTATATTTTTGTATTCTTTATATTTTTAGTTGGTTCGATTTCCGGTTTAGGTAAACTTTAAAAAAACGCATTTCTTACTTAAAAAATAAAAGAACGTTACTTTGAGTGAAACTTGATATCTTCTATATTTGAGGTACCTACTTAAGTTTAACGTCTCGTTTGCTTGTACCATCCTTCATATTACGTTAAGGATGTTATAAAAATTTTCTTAATCTGTCTATCTGTATGTTTAATTATAATCTTTATATCAATCGTATCATGTACATTGTACATCTTAATATGTATGTATATTCAATTAAATGGGTAAGATTTTAACAAGACCCTTCTTCGGCTTATACTTAAGAAATTAATCCAAAAATAATAATCCACTATAGAGTGAAAAGATAATCTCACTGAGAATAACCAGCCATCTGCGCAAGAGATATACTTAATAGTGCGTAAGTGTGCACGCAAACAAGAGTGCACTCTATTCGTCTTAATTCCTTTACTCCCATATTGTGGTGGAAGGAGAATTCAAGACGACCGATAAGAGATCAGGCGCTGAACTGATGGTTTTGGGTGCTCTCCGAAGCACGGGGGTAAAACACCACCAGCTTCCTGACTCCGGGCTGTTGCCGAGGTAAGCTAAATAACTGAACTTGGCCCGACCCGGGACTCGAATCCAAAATAGCCGTACAAGTACATGCTAGTCACAAGACCAGTAACTTAACTTTAAAATGAATTTGACTTCATCAAATAAAATAGACTACTATAAAATAACAAATAATAATATCAGACCGACAAAATGTGCTTTTTTGTTACGTTAAAAAATTCATGAATAATTCAATTTTATATCTTATAATATTAAATGAGCAACACTGGTACATGTAGATACTCATACGTATAAATTAATTTTATGTATCTTGAAAACTGCTCTAAAGATTTGAATATAAATAAATGTCTAGTACCACTAGCGACTCACCCACGCTTCTCTTGGGTTTGTTCCTAGGTTAATTTTCCATACAAACTTTTATCCCCATTTTCACCCCTTTAAGGGATTCTTTCCGTAATACAAAGTATTCTATGTCCTTTCTAGGTTCTCAAACTATCTTCTTACCAAATTTCATCTAAATCGGTTGAGGAGATTCAGAGATTAGCCCCTACAACCTCACAAACTGTACCTCTTTATAATATTACTATAGGTGACGTGTTTTATACATTTTTTTATATTAGTTTAAAGTGTAAGTTAATTATTCTAAATAAGTATTTAATATTATTGTACTAATTTGTGAAATTTAAAGTCAGTTTTTTTAATTATATTTTTGTTTTTAGACATAGTATGTTTTAAAAATAAAAATTAATTAAATTAAATATAAAAAATTAAGTTTTTATAATTAAACTTTTTATCCGAATGCGGATTTTTATAATATTACATTTAACAACGCTTTTCGTACGTCTCAGTCGAGGCGCAAATATTTTACAATCTCCAATTTATAAGGTTCACGTACCACCCTTATAATTTTGAGATTTTTTTATTAAATCTACTATTAATATTTTTAAATAAAAAATATATTATTTAAAATCACAAAATTGAAAAGAACCTCGAGTAGGTAGATGAAATTAAAAATACTGTACGCGAGCAGCCCTGTCGCGTGGTTACGCACCGCGCGGCTGTAGGTAATTATTTCAAGGACAGGGCCGAGTTGCAATACTGTATGCATAGCATTATCGTGATAATGGTCTTAAAAACAATGTTAATCACACCGCAAAGTCTCGCTCAGGGATCTACTATCGCAATAGTTGAATTGAGCTGTTGACTAACGAAGATTAGTAATAATAAAATAAAAGAAAATTTACATCACTAGCAATATATTTTAATGCAATAAACTATGTAACATAGTCCAATTGGAATCCGGTTTGGGAACAAAATATTGAAAACTTCAAAATTTATGATATTAAAATGTTAGCAGGTAGGTATATAAGGCCTTATATAAGGAATAGAAATTCGTATAATGACCCTTATGCTGATTAATTTTTCAAAAAAAAAATGATTTTAACTAAGGTAATTGCAGAAAGAAATGAAATTCATTCGTAGTCTAATCTTGTATAGCTGGGCATATGGGGCATTTTACGAATTTCTATTCCTTATATACCTGCTAGCATTTAAAAATTATAAAACTTCAGGTTTTCAATATATTTTTTTCTCTTAAAAATAAACGGATTCCGATTAGTCTAAACAGGGCAGTTGTAGCAAATGGTGGGGAAATTCACTTCACTCGTCACCAAACCTAACGTGATAGGAGTAAAGATATCAGTACCCCACTTGTTAACACTTTCGCCTGTGCTGTTCCAATTAAACTGAAATAATAAAATAATTAAATATTTAAATTAGAGATAACATACTAAATAATAATTTTGAAATTACCCTAGAAGTTATTGTATGTATATACTTTTTTATTATTATATTATATTGTATTGTATTGGGTGTGGTGCCGAGGTCACTTTCGAATTACATATCTATGCAAATCATTTTTCATGGCACGTCATATCATACACATTCTCGCAACTTTTTTTTTCTAAAACCACTGTGTCTCAATACATAATTAAAATATCTGAGATGTATTATATGCACGGGCGGGCACGTCAAGATGTTTCATTCTCAAAATAAAATGAATTAAGGTTACCAAAATTATAAATAAAATTTACCAGGAAGGGCACTACTTTAGTAATTTCATCTTCTGGTACAAATTCTAGTTGACTATGAGACCTCATTATCACCCCGAATACTGTTGTAGTTAGTTCATCCGTAAATAAATCTTTTACAATCTGTAAAACAAAATAATATAATATTATGTCATTGTCTTTAAGGCAACATTGAATTTGTTCTGAATTTTTACTTAAATTTAATGCTGTTACGTTTTTTCCGATTAATCACAGATATAAAGAAATATTTTATGTCCATAAATAAGAAAGCGAATTAGAAATAGGGAGGCGCTCCATGTGGGAATAATTTATGTACCTATCTCTTTAAAAATGAAAATGTTTCCAAATACGTACAGTGAATCGAAATTGCATTTCTGGATACAAAATAAGTACAGTCGATCGGTAATTTCCAATATTCATTTTAGACGAAACATCGAATCCGATGGCAACATCAAACATCCTCATTGTTGCTCTTACTTCTACATATGTTGTGTTAACTGTGGCAGGCAGCCAGACTTGCTGTACTGTATGTTGTATTATATCAATCCCATGTATTGATACTACAAAACCGTTAGTAAATTCCACATCACCTATTATTGGTCTGCCCAATATTGTTTGGCTAAAAATTTTGAAGACAGCTTTAGATTAATTACATGAGTTATTTGCTTTTAACAAGTAATGGGCTTAGTTAAGAAAAGTAAAAAAGTACATTTGGAATTTTAAAAAATCTGAAAAGCTTATATTTAAAAATCTACTTGGATTATCACAATAAGTGTAACTTGTGGAATCGCTGATATTATAAATTTCTAAGAGTTGCCTTTATTTAAATAATATTACTATTCATAGAATCTTAATAATATTTATTACCTATAAGTGTGGTAGTTTATATGGATGTTTGGATGTTTCGATGTTTAGATGTTTATTACTCAATTAAATTTTATTTAAATTTGGCACAGAGTTAGATTATAGTCTGGAATAGCACAAACCTGTCGATACTTTTTATCCCGGAAAAGGTACAGTTCTCGTGGGATAGATTTGTGTCTTATTTTTTATTTTTGTATTCTAATAATTGAGTATATTATTATTTATGCTATCTTCTATTAATTGAAAAACATTTGTATGTACCCACTTTACAGGTATAATGATGTCGCCTAGTTTCAAGCTACTCCATTGTTGATCTTCAATTCGTTTCACTGTCTCTTTTATGACTTCTAAAGCGTAGCTCGTATGGTCAACTAATCGTACATTTCTAACTAATAAAAATTATAACACATAAATATTACATTTCTGTAATAATTTTCTTTTTAAAATCATATCTATTACATATTTTCTAGATGGAAATGTTTAGAAAATTAGAATATTACATACATATTATTAGACATAATATTACAACTACAAACCTGTCGATCCCTCCGTAATATAAACGGTATTAAGTAGTAACATAAAGCACAGACCAATATTCATTATTAAAAATTACATCAACGTTTTTCTAAACGATTTAACATAGAATCTTTTTAGTGTGTTTATTCTATGGATACTTATTATCTAGTGATTAATATTACAATCGCGAATTCAAGGATAATATGACATTGACTAATTTATTTTTTTATCATCCTTATCGTTCTTATCATCCTTACTAATATCGTAAAGAACAGCCATGTTGGTTGTCCTTACTATTGATTTATCTCATGCCTCGGTAGATTGTGACTCGTATGTACTTCTGCACATCCAGAGATCTTGGGTTCGAGTCTCGTGTTGAGCAATGTTTAGTTACTGAGTCTATTTGTTACGAAAGTTTCAGTAAATCCCAGAGTTATGAAACTTGAGAGCGAAAGGAATAGTGTGCACTGGTGTCTGTGTGCAGATTGTACACTATAATATCTCCTATGTAGTTGGGTGGTCTCAATGAGACTGGCCACCGTGGCCGAAATCGATCGGAAAGACATCATCATTATATCATTCTTAAAATCAAATAGTATTTTATTTATTTTGACCATCGGTTGTTCATCAGACCGTGATTGCTAACGAGATTTTATCTTCTATATAAATAAAAATGAATGCTTCTTTGTATCTTTGTACTCTATGCGTATAGTTGCAAATGTATCTATACCGTTTAATTAATACATACAGTACCTACTAATGAATAAATGTGTATGAAAAGAAATTGAGACTTCATAATTTTTTAAGACAGATTGTTAACCTTCTGAGATTAATTTATTCCAATATTTTATGTTATTTAGGTATATTAATTCCTCCACGACCGCGGACACGCCGGCGTTACAGTTAACAATAGATTTCTTAGAAATTTTATTAATTTCTTAGAAATTAACCTAGAGTTGTTAACAGTTTATGATTTCCAATCTCAAAAAAAATGACCTTCAAGCATACTTTTCATCCAAAAAAATTTTTTTTGCAACATTAGCGTCTGCGCTCAAACATACATATTCAACAAACACATTTGGAACTTTAATATTATGATTATAAACATATAAAGATGTTAAATTTTATTACTTAACCTTAGACCACGGGCTTAATAATTTGATTACAGTACAGAAAGTTTGTGTTTATGTGTGTATGTTTGTTATTCCTACACTGAAAGCCTGGATTGATTTGGGTTATATATACCACACAGGTACGAGCAGACTTTGACTTGGAGTAACATATAAATACTGTTGAGCACCCAAGGAGGCCCGAGCGAAGCGATTATAAGTCATGGGTAATAAGATGGTACAGATGGAAGCCACCATTACCCACTAAAACCTATGTTTGCTCTATCGTTTGTATAATGGGTTGTGTTCCGAAAAATTGTTCGAAATGATGCCCACGGCCACTTTTTATCATTGCACCGCTCGCCATCGACAGCGAGTTCATGCTCACACATTGCATCCCAAATTTCAGAGGAATTTCTTCCCACGGGCCATTCTCCCGTGGAATGAACTCCCTGCCGAGGTTTTCCCTGAGGACTACAGTGTGGGGTCCTTCAAAAGGGGAGAAAATAGGGTTTTTAAGGGTCGACAGCGCGCATGGTGATGCCCCTGGTGTTGCAGGCGTCCATAGGCTACGGTAACCACTTACTATCAGACTGGCCGTATGCTTGACTGCCACCGTCGTGGTATAAAAATACTCGAAAGGAAAAGGTTGACTTGAAATGTGTATATTTACAAGGATCATCCAGAGTTACATTCGCCTTCGTGCTTCCATAAGTTCAAACACTATTAAATCATTACACTTGCAATACTAATAAGATCCCTAGATTGTTTAGGATCCTGAAGGGAAACACAACCTTTTGTATGGACCAGTGGCATCATTTTCATTCGACTATATAAAAAGTCTATTAAAGAAGAAACCAACTCACTAAATGGTACAAACCTAAGATATAGTGGTTGCTATTTAGTTTCATTAGGCGTTATCTGTAGGTAAATCTGTAAAAATATTATAAATGCGAAAGTTTGTGAATATAATAATGTATTTGTGAATATAATAATGTATATATTGTTACTCTTTCATGCCAGAACGGCTGAACGGATCTGGATGAAATTTGGCACAGAGATAGATTATAGTTTAAAATAATACATAGGCATCTGGGAAAAATATACGGTTCCCGAAGGATAGATTTGTTTTTGTTTTTCCGCCAGAGCCAATTCTAACGCAGCGCCCTTCAACTGAGACAGCTGCCGATAAACGCTCCTATCCCACTTCAGTGTATACACTGCACTCTTGCTTATCGTCTTGATCGCCTGGCGAGTTAAAAAAACTGACTAAATGATCTGTATTTTTGTAATTATTATTTTTTTAATTATTTATTTTATGCTGTTAAAATCGCAGCGTGCCTAAAATACATTTTTTGGGATTTATCAAATAACAATATTTTTGGAAATGCCTGACCTAATTTTTAACCGGTTAAATGATATGGCTTTATTATTTTTAAACTCTTTGATAATAAAATAACAAGATACAAAAGTTTAGAATTGCCTAAAAACTTTTTTTTTGGAAAAAATATTGAATACTTTAAAAGTTTAAGGGTGGCAACTGGTAAGGCAACCGCTACCCTCCAGCCAGACTTGCAGTTTTATACCTGACAATGTAGTCCGATCGGAATCCGGTTTGGGAAAAATTATTGAAAACCTGACATTTTATGATTTTAAAATGTTAGCAGGTATATAAGGAATAGGAATTCGGAAAATTCCCCCTATGCCCAACAACCCCCGAAAAATGGGGGGACGCAAAGCGTTGAAAAATAGTTTTTTTCAATTTTCAGCTTACTGTGACGTTCTATTGAAAAATGTTTTCTACAAAAGTTGTAGGTCTAGTAAAAATCTACAACTTTTATAAACAACACTTTTTACAATAACCTCAAAGTTTTCGAGATATTTGTAAAAAACTTCGTTTTTAACTTTTTCTTGGTTTTTATTTTTAATTTCTAGAATAATCTTTTGATTTCCATGAAACTAAGGAAAATTAATCTTCGAAATACATATAATAAATTAAAAAAACTGAAATCGAAATGTTTACCCATTTCCGAAAAAAGTATGTTCTATGGTCTCAAGAGGCTGAAAATCACCCCCAACTTGAAGTGGGCGTTTACATTTAAAAAAAATCTTTCAATTTTCAGATAGGGCTCATTCTTTTCATCTTGAATTCTACTTTTGGAAAATATAAAAACATTGTATGGTTGTCTTGTAAAAACACCTTTAAACATTTTAAAAATTGGAGAAATCGATAATTTTTACTTTGTAAACTACATTTTTTTTAATTATCATTGAAGAAGTATACTTTATTGACCAAATTTTTATAAACTGATTACACTAATGTATTTTTCAGGAAAAAACGAAAAAAATATTTCATATTCAACTTTGCAATTTGACGAGTCGTGAAAAAATAATTAAAGCTGGAATTCACGTAAAGTATACCATTGCTTTTGTATTTTTTTTGCCGTAGAATCTATTTATATTATATATATTTTTTCAAATTTATCGATATTTTATTAGTGTTTGATCGATTTTGGAGCTAATTTTATTGATTTTTCTTAAAAAAATGATTTTAAGGTATTTACAGAAAGAAAAGAAATTCATTCATAATCTAAGCTTCTTTATCCATTAGTTGAATATATATTTAAAAAAATTAAGTTGATATTATAAAATTTAGTCATAATTTTGTTAAAAAATCACAAAAAAATGTAAAAAATGAACAAAAAACATTTTTTACTTAACTCGTTACGTCGATTTTTTCCTGAGATATTTGACTTTTAATAAAAAAGGATCCTTCTCTTTTCTATCACCAATATCTTAGCATTTAATGGATGCACAGATAAAAGGGTTATTTATTTTAATTTAAGTCATATTTCTGAAAGCTACTATTATAGTTTTTAAAAAAAGTATTTTTGTTTTCATTCTCGAGGCAAATCCATTGAGAAATGATGCATTGAAATCGGCTAAGCCATTTAGTTATTACGAGGGAATATGAGATCGGACATACATACACAGGTCAAACACATAACCCTCTTTTGGGCTTGAAGTTTTGTTTAACTCAATTTATTTAAATAGTTTATAGCTTTCCAGATACAATTAATTCCTTTAGTTTATATTTTTGTACTTTTCCGGAGGCTGTTTTAGGAAATTCCTCAACAGTTTTCAGTATTTTAGGAATTTTAAATCTAGCCAGTTTCCCGCTGCAGTGATTTGCCATGTTTTGAAGAGTAAACGTGGCATTTTCCCTAACTCTGACTACTGCACAGAGCTCTTCTCCTAACCTGTCATCGGGTACTCCAACTACCTGATTAAAAAATGATACATATTATAACGTCCACTTCCACATTCTAGTATAGAAGGTCAAAATCTAGTTACTAGACAAAAAACAACAAGTCAACAAAATTTAAAGTTTACCTGGCTATCAATTATATCAGGATGTGAGTTCAGAAAGTCTTCTATTTCTTTAGGGGCAATGTTCTCTCCGCCACGGACGATAATATCCTTTATTCGACCCACAATTTTTCCATATCCCTCTGGGGATATTTGAAACATGTCTCTGGATAAAAGAATGGTAATAATTATTACTTTTTAACAAAACACATACCCGCAGCAAAATAACCGCACAAGTTATTAATTATTCCACTTGTAGGGGTACAACTATTATATTACTCTCGCATTGACATCCACCATACCGGCCAAAGTCGGCTTGGAGTTTGCAAGCATATAAGAATTAGTGGATCGTAAAATTCACTTCGTAACACTCAACACAAACAGCAAAGATATCGTACTTAATTAAAAAGCTACACCTGATTTAAGTAAGTCCTCTTTGGAAGAGAATTAATACACAAAATAGCTTATTAATTAAGTAGTGATAAATATTGATATAACTATATTGAAATAAATTAAAATAAAATTTCTCAGCCAAGTTCTGATCCTCAAAATAATATATATATATATATATATATATATATATATATATATATATATATATATATATATATATATATATATATATATATATATATATATATATATAACAGATTTTCCTCACCCTGTATGTAACCATCCGTCTTCTCGCAGCGTTTCCATCGTCCTTTCTGGCTCATCCCAGTAATACAACATATTACAGTAACCACGCACCATCAATTCGCCTGGGGACCCAAAAGGTACTGTCTCACCTACATCGTCAACCACCTGGTTGAAATCAAATTTACTATAATAATGATTATTAAAAAAACACATTTATCCCATACTCCAATTATAGTGTATGGGAATGACTAAATGTGTCCAAGCTCAAAGATATCTTTTTTCATTGTAATCCGAATTATTCATTTTTATAAGATTTTAAAATGTAATTAAAAGCAAAATCCAAATATTTGATTAGGTACATAGAAAGTAGCATACAAATTATTAATGCTTAAGTTAAAGTTAAAATTATATAAATATGTTAGTAAAATACCTATGTCTGCATTCTACATTATATGCCATAAATATTTTAGATCTATATAAAAATGTGTATTCTTTATAAATGGATACAACATACCTTCACTTCAATGTGATCAGTTACGCTGCCAACGGTTTCTGCCACCAAGTCGACACTATCATCCGGCATCGACTGAAACACACTCGCCGTAGTTTCTGTAAGACCATACAGCGCCTGAAAAATAATTATATGTTTAATAATTTAAAATGAACAATACGAGTAATTACAGCTTAAAAACTAAAAAAATCGACTGAAAGTTCAACGGTAATGTATGAAACTTGAATGTAATTTATCAAAACGAATGGAGTAAAATTCAACTCGAGGGCTTTATTGAGCAGTTTATCAAATGATTGTACTATCCTCCCGATATCACATACAAAAGTTTTAAGACAAAACGGTACGGCAAAAAAATGTTGGCTTATTAAAGTGTTATAATTTACCTAACTAACATCTCTCAATCTAACTATCTATTTATATAACATTTGAAATAACGCAGAGACGATTATATCATAACCAATTCAATAAAATAAACAATAACTTTTAACAAATAACCAGTTTACCAAAACCTAACAATTTCTGAAGTAAAAAATATTAGGTACCCCAACATTCATCACATTAAGATTTTCTTTCATTTGTCGAATAAGATGGGGACTGCATGGTGCACCTGCTGTCAATGCCATTCGTAAACGCGTTGGCAACTTGCTACGGAAGTGCGACAGCATGTCTATGTACATAGTCGGTGTCCCCGTTATCACTGTGCATCTGTAAAGTAATCACAATAATATTAAAATTACAAAGATTGTGAGTGTGTTTGTTATATATTTTACATAAATACATCCTAGTCATTAGACCACAGAATCATGTCTCAATACTTCTATATCCAATACACTTCTAACGTACCGAGATAAAATACATTGTTTCTTTATAGCAGCTGATTAATTATCTACATATATGAAACACGTAAACAAACGGTAGATACCATGTGAAGGTCCAAAATATAAGTCAAGAAGTAGTAGTGGGAAGTGTAAGTAATAGATTACGTACTAGCAACTCGCTTTCGCTTCGCTCGGGTTCTTACATAGTTGATTCTTTAAATTGACATAACTTCTTTTATTTTTGAACCGATTGAAATACAATAAATACTAAATGTTAAGTGAAGCTTACCACTATACATTAGTGAAAACCGCATCCTAATCGATTAAACTGTTTCTGAGATTAGCGCGCACAAACGCACTGACAAGCAGACAAAAATTCTAAAAATAATCATTGTTTTGGGTTCTATTGCGTTAATGAAGACCTCCAATAATAGTTTTTCTCAAATACATTTCATGTACAGACGCGATCAGTTATACTTTTATTATATGTACTAGCCAATCTACAGTTTTTAGAATTTTTGTTTGTCTAATTATGTCGGTGACCGCATCATGAGAAAACGACTGGACAGATTTTGATGTTGTATGATGATAGCTGGTTATCCGAGTTAACATATAGGACACAAAAAGTATCCTACTACTGCTACTACTACTACTGCGGAAAAATATCTCATCTCTGAGAAATCTATACTAAACATTAAAACGTATCTAGGAACGAACCCGAGCGGAGAGAGGGCGAGTTGCTAGTATACACATAAGTACTAAAACATATTATAATAACACAAAACTCTATTTCATATATTTGAGAAATAAATAAACATAATATTTCAATATAATTAAAGTTAAAGGACTAACTTCTCAGAGCACAGTGCGTGTACGTTTGCGGTGACACTGTACATTGGTGCTGCAACCACTATCGTAGAGCCGTGGCGCAGGCCCGCTAAGAGGGTTACGACAGACCCCAGAGCGTGGAACATTGGTGCCTACAAAAACAACAGGTAATTTAAATTTATATCGTTTTACACAACTATAAATGCGAAAATTTGCAATAGAAAAATTAGTACACAGATGGATTATGAGCTGGAGTAATACATGGGCTGTTAGGCACTCAGAGGCGCACCCAAGTGGAACAAGTTTCTAAGTAACATAATTTGTAAAATTTATTGAAACAAACTAGGTAGGTATATAATTAGAACTTAAAGAAATAATTATACTAAAATTAAAATTATAATAAAAATATAATAAAAATAAATATCTTTAAATTATAATAAAAATAAGCCCTAATTTCAAATTAACAACTGTAATGTATTGGAATATGGACTCATTAAAAAAATCAAATGAATACAAATTCAATTTACTATATAGTAGACATTGAAGCTTCGCCATTATCAGATGAGTTCGATGGTATGATTTTTTTATTATAATTTAAATTTCACATTTTATACTATTTGAAAATAACTAAAAATAAGTCAAAATTGACTTAAAATGTTATTATTACTAAGTAATCTTTTTATCAATGATAAAAATTATTATACGTATACGTATAAAGTAAAAGTCAAAATAATGATTATAAATAACGTCATGCGTCGTGACCCATTATGGCCCCGTCTGCGCATATATCGCATACCGGTGCATAATAAATGTTATAATAATAAATATTAAATAAAACAATACTTTGTTAGAATATTTACATAAAACAATACGTTAGTGATGCTCCCAATTGCTTTTAATTTCTTTCAGGAGCTCAAAATATTGAAATTAGAGGTTGGGTAACTCTACTCTAAATATGGTTCAAGTTTATTTATATAATACTACTACAATATTGTTCACAAAATATTTTTTATCTTCACTATACTTAGTTAAAAGCAAAAGCTTTATAATGCATTATTATTTTAGAAAAAAAAACAACTAAAACATGAATACAGTACTAGTCGCAGTAAAATTTAAGATTTTAATTTACTAAAATTATAATACTCATATTATTTTAGTATTTTTAGTAACGTAAAATATATGTAAATTGAGCCTTTTACAAAGATATAGTTAATTACCATACAAACATCTGCATATATTAAAATAAACTTAAAATAAACCGACATCTTTGTTTATTAAAAATTATTATAATATATAAAATATTATAACATGTAGTCATATTTTAAATTACTACTAAAACTTTTAGTCACCATTATAAATTATAAGTACCTGTAAGCATATTATTTGATGTTCTTCCTGCAAGCAAAGCCTTTTTCCACTGAAGTAAGTGTTATTTACTACCCCTATGTGTGAATCCAGAGCGCCTTTTGGTTTACCTTAAAGTTATAATTTTTTTTTATATTATTACATTTGTTATTTTTAATAGGGCTCTTTAAAAAAAATGATGCAATAATCATCAATACAAGGCGACCTAAGTTCTAGCAGCAGTTGCAGTAGCAGACGTTGGCAGTTTGTTTATTTGAACGCGCTAATCTCAGGATCTATTAATCCGATTTGAAATGGAAGAGGAGGAAGGCTATAAATGTATATATATATATATATATATATATATATATATATATATATTATTTTTAATTATATTAGTTTAGATATATATTCGTGCATATGTGCGGGCATTTGTGTCACTAGACTTGAACTAAAATATGAAAGAACATTTATGGTCAAACCCATTCAAAAGTGTATGAATCTCTTTAGAGGAGAATTTAATTCTCTATTTTTTTTAATAACTTTTACCACTTTAAAGAGTAATCAGCAATAAAATAGTTATCTCAAATTCATCAAATCATAAATCACACAAGCGGAATGCGCATTAGTAATAATCAATCAAAATAACTACTTCTTCTAACTCTCTATTTTTTCATTAGTTTTTGTCTAATCATACAACAAAACAAATAAGTGAAACAGAAGAACTGCCATCTGCATTATCATTGCACAATGCCTTATTTACATATAATATGGCCTTTGATGATGGCAGTGGTAGCCCAGTGGTAACGCGCTCGCTTGGGAAACCGAGTGAAGCGAGTTTAAATCCCGGGTCTCGCACCTCTGATATTTTCATGTGCGAATCATTTCCAACATGATTACTACTTGTCTTAACGGTGAAGGAAAACATCGTGAGGAAACCTGCATGTCTGAGAGAACCTAGCAAGTTTTCAAAAGACATGTGAAGTCCGCCAATCCGCACTTGGCCAGCGTGGTGGACTATGGCCTGATTCCCCTCGTACTGCAGGGAGGCCCGTGCCCAGAAGTGGGACGTTAAAAAGGGCTGAATACATGGCCTTTGAGGACTACATAATATGTAATTAACTCATTGTTATTTGCTTCATTTGCGTTCAGATTATCTAAATTCTTCTAATTTGAGATTAATTCCATGACCTAAGAATTTTCAGCACGAAATTTTGCCAAGTTTATTTAATACAATATAATATTCCAAAGTTTGTAAAAATATAATTTAACATACGATTTCAAAATTCTCAATTTTGACGGGACTTTCACTGGCAGATAACTAGCAAGGGTTCTGTGCAAAAAAATCAAAACCTAATAAATTTTGAAGTAATCGGCATACCTAGGGATGCACCCGAGCGAAACGAGGGTAAGCAGCTAGTTAAAAATAAAAGCAATTCACAATTAGTTAAGAACGAGGAAAATCAAATGTACTTCTGAATTGAACCTCGTCCTTTTTTGAAATCAATTAATAAATAATAATTGAAGTTTCAATGTAAATTATTGTATGTATTATACCTAGCACCTAACACAGACCTGATTAAAAATCTCGCACGTACCCGTTGTCCCCGATGTCATAAGAACAAAACTTCCATCCTCCGGTTTCACTTCATTGCTATATTTTGTTATTTCACTATTATTTTTGTAATTATTTATAAAAGACTCCAATGTCGTGGTTCCACTGCAATCAAAATGTAATGTATCAAGCAAAGAATGTTTAAAATGTGCATATAAAATCTTACAAGTATATTTTCCTCTTTATTACTTCAAGAATATTATGGGGAATTGTATAACTAAAACCTCATAATTAGTATTGAAGGAAAATCTATAGACTTTCCTTAAACACAGTCACTTCTTTTCATCTAAATATATGTATTGTTGGTTTCTTATTATTGTAGTACTGGTAATAGACATACTTTATTAAGACAATGTACATAACAAGATAATAACCGCATACGCAACACGTTCATCCGGGGTAGTCTCGGGGTCCGTGACGTAGCGGATAAGCTCCAAGAGCGGCGTCTGAGGTGGTATGGCTATATCGCACGTCGGTCTGAGGACTATGTCGGAAGGAAGTGCCTTGATATGTCTGTCCCTATAACAAGACCTCCCGGGCGCCCAAGAAAGCGATGGCTGGATGTCGTGAAGCAGGAAATGAGAGCCAATGGACTTACGCAGGATGACATTAAAGACCGTGCAAAGTGGAGGAGACTTAGCAGGAAGGCAGACCCTGGCAATAGCCGGGATTAATAATGCCAGGCAGAAGAAGAGGACATAACAAGATAAAAAAATTTTCCAAATCGGTTAAGGTTTCTTCGAGTAATCGGTGAACAAACATAAAAAAAAGATTCCGAAGAATAATTGAGAACCGCCATCTTTTTGGAAGTCGGTTAAAAATAAGAAGAAATAACAAAGAAAAACGGATTTTATATATGTTTTAAAAAATGGAAGTATTCACTTACTTTAGTTTATCTTTTCCAGTTGTTATGATATGTCTCAGACTGGGAAATATTTTTGATTGTAACGATCCTTCTTTAGAAGATTGTAGCTCTGGTAACATTTTGTTTAATAATCCATAGTAATCTCTATTTTTTAAATTTTCACCGACCACTAAGCCTTTTATTTGTATTTTGTTGATGCAAAAGCTCAATTCGTCTTTTTCGTATAGTGGATTGATAAAAACCTGTTATAATATATAAATATAATATAAATTTATACTGTCACTCTCTAAAAATTAAGGATAATTATTTGTTTACCAGAGCAATTCAAAGTGATTAATAGCAGTTGATACATATCCAGTTTGACGATAAATAAATCTGCATAATTCGAGTAGGTATAGCTCTCTTTAAGCATATTAAATTAAACACTACTTGATGATTTTTCTATATTTCAATAAGACCTTAACACTGTGACAAAAAAAACTTAGTTTTGTATTTACGTATACTTTACTATTATAAATACATATACATATATTATCGCCAACCCGCACTTGGCCAGCGTGGTGGACTATGGCCTGATCCCCCTCGTATTAAAGGGAGGCCCGAGCCCAGCAGTGGGATGTTAAAAAGGGCTGAATACATACATACAATACATACATATATTATCTAGGATATCCGAAGTAATGTCGTTCTTCAACAATCAAATGTTTCGTAAAAAAAGAAGTTATTTCGTAGTTATTCGTAGATATTAAAAATATTGCAAACCTATGTGTTTTCTATTGAAAGGTCAACAATATTTTTTATGAATAAAAAAATTTAAAATAATCCCTCAACGACCGCGGACACGCTGGTGTTACAGTTAACAATAGATTTCTTAGAAATTTAATCAATTTCTTAGAAATTTACCTGGAGGTGTTAAAAAAAGAATTAATTGTTGAATAGTTAATTATATAAAAAATGCTTAGCAAATAATTATATTGAAAGTATAAAATGTAGACAACATGTAAAATTTAAGTTGCTTGCAAAAAAAGATATCAACCACGGTTGAAGGCTTTGTAATTTAAAAATTGGAGCAAATCAAGATAGATGATAAGTTGCTGCATGTACACTACAATCCATTATATTGTAAATAAATATAACTTACTGTAGCGTATCCTAAGTAAATATGTACAAAGCATTTAAAATGATATGAGTACTTGACTGTTTCGCGCGCGCCACGATTTTAGTCTGATAAATGCCCTAAATTTATGAGTAGAGTGGTGTGATGAATGGTATCTAGGACCTATCTCATAATTTTTTAGCTTTTAGTACATTATCTACATCATTATTATCTTTCTTTTCAATAAAACCTTAACTTAAAAAAAATTACTAGTTTCATTTTCAAGTTTTTAGTTTTTTTTATTTTATTTTAAACTGTTTAAACTCTTTGATTCGCCATGAACTGAGTTTTACTTGTATAACCCTTTCATTTAATACCCATATTGAAGGGGCTGTGAAAAAATATGTAATTTGTTGGAAGCCATATTGAATTTGGATTTTTTTTCATAGTGCACTATATTTTACTAGTCAAGCCCTATCATTTCATAACCATATTGAGGGTGTTGTGAAAAAATATGTAATCTGCCATTTTTTGGTGGCGGCCATCTTGGATTTACAATAATACTGAATATTCAATTGTATTTTCATCAGAAATATAGGCGTGCACCAAATATCAAATCAATCTATTAACAGGAAAGGGGTAAAATTTCAATTCCTAAATATGACCCAAACAAACAGGACAAGCTAAATAAAACCGTTTAACAAATTACGATTCTGAAAACATATGAAGTGGAAAGTTCTGAACAGGATTATATGTATGTAAATGTATTGATGAAATGTCATACCGATATAAGCCCAGCTCTCGCAGCAGCGAGTGCAGAAATTATCCAACCGGAGCAATTGTGAGCCCAAATTCCTAATCTATCACCTTTTTCAAACCCATTAGCCCTGAGTGCACATCCCAAAGAATCAGCCTGAAATTAAAATATATATTTTTTAATTTTAATGCACTTTAATAATAAAAATGTAAATTCTATTTTGCTGCTTTATTTTTTAATTGACTGTATTACTGCCTTGACAGCACCACTGCATGGAAAATAAGAAAAAATAAGTCATAAGACTATATAGTCTGTGGCAATAAAATAAAATATCAAATAATAATGTATAATTATTATTTAATACTTGTTTGTTATTTCTTCTTATTTTTAACCAACTTCCAAAAAGGAGGAGGTTTTCAATTAGTCGGAATCTTTTTTTTTATGGTTGTTTACCGATTTCTCGAAGACACCTAAGCCGATTTGGAAAAAATTCATTTTTCCTTCCCAGGTGGTCCCATTTAAATTTTATCGAAATCGGTCGAGCAGTTTTTAAAAAATCAACAAATAAATGGCTTAATCGAATATGTTAAAACTTTCTTCTTACAAATTATCTACTTATTACGTCTACACTAAAAATGGAAAAATAAAACCTTAAAAAAATAAAATAAAAACCGACTTCTAGGCATTATAATGTAAAAAATAACTAAACGGGGGTTTTCATTTAGAATATATACCTTATCAGATCTTTTCGAAGTCGGTGCCAGCCCAAGCACAGCGAAACAAATCTAGGTCGATACGTACCTATAAATACATCGAAGATTGATGTATGTATAATATTTTAACTACTTATAATTAGAGTTCATACCTTGTCATATTTACCTATAGATATTCATATCTTAAAGTATTGTCGGCTGGCACCGACTTCGAAAAAATCTGATTAGGTATCTATTCTAAATGAAAATCCCCGTTTAGTTATTTATCACACATTAATTAAACGCAAATCTTTAAAAAAAACTTTTCAAGCAGCACCTTTTAGCTTCTTTTATTTTGTCTAACAATTACGTGTTGATATATTGGTGTTATAGTCAAATGCTATGAAAATTTTCTAGATTTCGCTTAGTGTATCTGTTTAATTATGTGAACATTGAACATGCGCTAGGAGTCTAGGACATTATGACTTTGGAATTCAATTACATTGAGTTATATTATATCTGCCCCTGATAATAATTAATTTGTATTAGGTAGGTACTTATACTAAAAATAACAATTTTATGAAATTTAGTTAAAATTCATATTTTTGTACATTTTCGACTTTTATATTGATTATATAGACATGAAAATAATATTTAGCCATATAATTTTATTTTGAGCAATTTGTTTTATTCCTGCTTAAAATTATTAAAGTTTGAAATATAAGCGTTTAAAATATATTAATTCATAATTTATATACAGTACAGTATAAGCATTGACCGCGGCTCCGCCTGCGTTCCAAATTATTAGGTTTTCCATATTAGTTTATTTATTTTTTTACTTATTTACTAAGAACATCATTTTTGCATATAATATCATAAACAGTTTCTATGTTAATAACTGCATTAGATATACAACTCAGTCGCAGTTATCAACGCCCACCTCTCTAGCAACAGGCTACAATTGTATATGCTAAATCAATTGTATCCATTCTAAAAAGACAAAAGTTACATTGTTTACCAGTATTATTGCGCATCGCAATATTGGAAAAAAATGGTGGTGATTGAATGCCACAAAGGTTCCTTATGTAACCTAATATTTAATCAGTATTATATCAATACACTTATGTCATAAAGTGGAATGATTTGCTTGCTTGTTTATTTGTAGGTAGATAAATTCTTAAACTACTGAATTAATTTTAATAATTCATTCAGATGATGAACTTCAAAAGACAATATATCAATAGGAAAAATTAAAAGTACGGTCTACTATTGATGGCATCATGTTGTTTAAGTTAAATAAATGCAAATTGGCTGAAGTACTTAGACTAAAATGGGCTTGCTATATATAGAATTAGCTTACTAAGTATATATCAAAAAATACACTTTCATTCTTGTCATAATTTTGTTTTCAAACTAAAATATTTTATATTTTTCTTATCGAATTTTTTCTTCGCATATAATTATGGGCTGATAGATTTAAAAGGCTATATGCACATTGCACAACTAAATTTCATAAACATGCCGGTGACACACGTAACATAAACGCACGTCGGCAGCGCATATTCTGTTTTGGCAATTTTAAAAAATACAGATTGGTTGCATTCGTATAATTATACGGGCATAGAAGCCCCGCGACAGCGCGGTTAAATGTCATCGTGTATACAAGCCCTTAATTCGCTATTGACGTCAATGTTTTTTTATAACTATAACATAGCCATCAAATCACTTTTATTTATAAGTTTTTATTTAAATTTCCTTATTACAAGATTTTAAAAGAATACAATAATTTACTAACTTTTTTATGTAAACATTATACGCGTATGAACAGTGCGATAACGTAAAGAACGCTTGTACTTCAAGTTTACTTATTACACTATTCAAATCATAAACTAGTTACAAAAAATATATAAATTAAACTCTTTGTAAACAGCGTAGAATAATTAATAGATATTGATGATGGTTCTATATTTATTAGAACTAGTGGTCACATAGTGGTTGAAATTCGACCATAATCATTTTTTTATTGATGAGTGATAACACTAAAGCTTAGTCTAATTAAAAAAAAATTGATTGACAAATAGAGAAAAGGCACTGAACTGATTTGCATTTGCTTATTTATATACGGATTAAAAAAAGTAAATAATTATATTTACATAATTTCTTAGTAACAGGCTATAATTTAAAGTCATATAAGCTTAACATTTTTTAAATCATAAAATGATAATGATCATAAAGTACACTGAATCATACTTATTATTAAGCGGATAATTTTTTATAATGTACTACTAAGCATTATAAATATAAAAATTATCCGGTAATAAACTAGTAAGTAACAGCTCCGAAAATCGATAATATTTTATTTAGTTTGAACATTGGGATTCTTTTGTCAAAGTTACATAGGTAGCGTAAGATAAAATTACGCTTTTCTTAATAAGTAGACTATAAAATATATATATTTTTTCAAATCGGACCCGTAGTTCCAGAAATTAGTTAACGCTGTTAGTAAAAAAATGATGCATATATAAACTACGCGAGCAGAGCCGCAGGCAAAAGTGACTCAATAAATTTTATTTCATGAAACAATATATGTACCTACGTACATGCGTCGGATATCACTAAGTTTATATTATCTACTTTTTGCTTATTATTTCATTAAAAGGATAATACTTTGGTAATTAGCTTCTTTGATTGCCTTTAAATGGGACTTGTTAAGTGGGAATTATTTTTTTATTTTTAAGCAGTCGTTTTTCTTATTGATTTTTGCTTTTTTTTGTGTTAGTGTTCTTTATTTTTTTATTTAGAATTTATTTCATATTTTTTAAGCTTATGTCAAGTGGCCTTGTCAACTATTGATGTGGCAAAGAAGTTAGATACAATCTCTTAGAAGTCTTAGAGAATTGTTAACCAAATAGCATTCCTTCAGTTACATTTCACGCTGCGCTTGAATTTATTCACCGCGGCCACTGCCATGCGTATTAGCAGTAAGAAACTTAATTATCTAGACCAATCTAATGGGTCTAAATAAGAAATATTTGCTGCATGTCCTTAAAGAGTTACAGACTTACTCTGATCTGCCAGCAGCAGGTCAAGATTAACATAAATCGTAATCATTCCTTACGTACAATACTATGGTATATATATTATTCACCGTACAATATCAAATTATATTTATTCACTTACTCAATCCGAATCACTCAAATATTCTTTCGTTTACTTAACATATTTGTACATTAAATCGCTATAAACGTTACTAAATATGTCCTAAATCAAAATTTTATATCAATTGAATGAGTGAGATTAGCTTATAATCTGTCATCAATTTATCTTCATATATCTAAACTCACTTCTCTCACACTCTCTAAACTTCACATTTCAATAAACCTAAACACGATATCTCTGCAATATGTTAGTATGAGTTAAATATCTTGCTGATCCTAGGGGACGCTGCAGCATCAGGACAAGATTACCATATCACTGCAATGTCATTGAAGTAATGAAGTACCAAGTTTCGAATCGAATAAATCTATGAAAATTGCCTATATCCTTTACCATCTAGAAAAGAGCTGATGGTCTGCAAACGGTTGAACGGGTTTTCTTAATTTACTTATAGCTAAGAACACTCTCTCGGTTAAATCACCTTTCAAACAAAAAAAAACTAAATTGAAATCAGTTCATAACATTAAACTTATCACCCCTCTTTTTGCGCTGGGGGATAATTATACCACCCATCTTTTTGTATCGGGATTCGGGGGTTAAAAAGGTAGGTACAGAGCTTTCTCCTTACATAATAACATAATGATTACCTTATTCATAAGTTCCTCATAAGTAATAGAGACATCTTCATGAATAGATTTGATGGCTATTCTTCCAGGGTATTTGTGCGCAGTTTCTGCTATGACATCTCCAAATGTGGCGATGGTTAAGGGTTCACTTCCCGGATTATTTATATGACTAGCGTGATCAGTCTGCAGCAAACGAGCTAATCTGTAATAAATATTAAATACATGTACATTATAAAATAGGATATACATATAAAGTATGTTAATATATGTATATATATATAAACACACATGAATATATATATACGTAATACGTATGTTTCTAAATATTTTCTATCAACGAAAATACGTAGAAGTATTTTGAGTATATGAGATATAGAATATTTCCGGCATTTATAGTGTCTTTGAAAATATTATGATATAGGTAAAGATTAATTTTTTTGCTGTTGCATAATTAACGTTGTGCATTCTTAAATAGTGATTTGCGTTTAAACAAACATAATATCAAGATAAAATCAAACCTTGATACACCGAAATTAAAGCGATACATATTTTATCCGAATTATAAGATTGCTGTAATATAATTTCTAATAGTCCAAGTAAGCAAAAATTGCGTCAATCTTGTATGCGTTGTAATATGTATACAAATAGGTTATACTTTAAGGATGAGTTATATGAGTCGCAAGAAAAATCCCTAATGGTGTGTAATGGTGGAAGTAAATTGAAATCGATGTAATTTATATCTTAAACCATTCTCTGTATATGGTGCGTAGGTCATTATCATCGTCATCATCATCGTCTACCCGCATATTATTATATACCCACTATTGATCAAAGGCCCCCTTATTAACGCGTCATCCTTTCCTACCCTGAGCCACTGCTGTACACTATCTACCTAATGCCTTCACAATATACGACTGACCAATTTTTTGTTTTGGTCAGGGTTTTCCTGGTACACTTTTACCGTTTTGTAATTTGTACTTAGGCATATAGTCTTAAATATTCATAACAAACTTCTACTCTTCCAGGTTACTAATCGCTCAATGACATACTATAATTTACAACTTTATGACCAAATGATATGAAAATTCCTGTAGATAGCTGTTAATCCTGATATATAAAGCTAATCGGGGTGATATGGTATTAAATTATCCATATCTATGTATACTGTCAGGTAGATGTGTTTGTTTACAAAAAAATTCTAAAAATAAGAAATCTAACTCTTATGTCGATGTCTATCGTTACTGCAATAGTGGCTTCCTGAAAGTTCTTTTTTAAAGCTTTTTTCCATTTTTAGTGTAGGCATAATAAGCCGATTTGGTATAAGAAAAACAAGTGGAAGTAACAAGTTAGTTTGACGGTACTTATGATTGACCGACTTCCAAAAATAAGGAGGTTCTGTATTCGTCTGTATGTATTTTTCTTTTATGTATGTACTTTGGCTTTGTAATTAAAGTCTACCTATTAAATACATACCTAATCAAATATTTTCGAAATCGGTGCCAGCCCATACAAAGCAAAGCACACCGACTTCGAAAATATTTGATTAGGTATGTATAGTAAATGAAAACTACCAATCAGTTATTTTTTACTTTTTAGTGCTTTTGTTTGAAGTCGGTTTTTATTTTTTTGTTAAAAAGTATTTTTGATAATAATATTGACAAATATTGACATTAATATTTATACGATACTAACGTCACTCAATTGTTTTGCCTTCCCGGAACCTCTCCACTAACACTTAAACGGTATTAAAGTTCAAATTGACTTTTAAGTATTATAACGAATCTTTTGTATGGGAGTATAGAAAAGTGTAGTTTTTAGACTTTTTCAGGCATATTTTTTAATTTTTCTCTCCGTAAGAACCATCCTCGTACTTCAAGGAATATTCTAAAAAAAGAATTAGCGAAATCGGTTCAGCTGCTCTCGAGATTTGCGCTTATCAACACATTCCGCGATTTATTTTTATATTATAGAAGATTATACTGCATTTTACTAAAGTAGGTTTCGAGGTGATTAGGCAAATTTTTCTTTTACGTTTTCGAGAAAATAATAAAATAAGTCATGAAATTTAAGTAAGTAAACTAATCTAATTCGTTTTTTTTTAAATAAAACTATCTTTTCGGATTTTTTCTCGAATTTATTTTGATTTTTGGTTCCGACGTTTCGAAAGCTTTACCTAGAGAAATCATGATCACGGTAGAGACTAAGGTGTAGATGTCTCAAGGGCATTATTACATAGTTGTTACAGACAGCCTACCCACAAAATAACAAAATGAATTCAGAAAATTGAAATCTCCACATTTCAATTTTGCAAAAAAAAACCGAAAAGGTAGTTTTATTTAAAATGTCAAATATTCACGTAAATCTAAGAAAGTATTATGATCTAATTAGTCTTTTTTACCTACTTCTAATTGTCATAGCGACTTGAATCTTTGCAAGTCTTTGTATTTCTAATTATACAGTTATTTGGTATGATCGAGCTGGCTACTTTAAGTTTGGGCTTATTTGGTTTGTTTTGACAAACCCAATACGTTTAAATTGGATTTTAGAGCCTAATTTTAGTGTTACTAATACACTTTTATTAGATTTTAGTTTGTTAACCTTGATAAAAAAATGGCATCATACTGACTTAAATGGCTTAATTAAATATTTTATTAAAACATTTTCGTCTTACGAATTTGCTACTAATACCTACGTCTGCATTAAAAATAGAAAAATAAAAACAAAAAAAACGACTTCCAGACACTAAAAATCAAAAAATAATAATAACCTATTTCTAGACACTAAAAAGTTAAAAAAATACTTAACGGGGGTTTTCATTTACTATAGATACGTTATCAGATATTCTCGAAGTCGGTGCCAGCCGACAAGTCTTTAAGATATGAATATCCAATAGGTAAATATGACAAGGTATAAACTTTAATTATAGTTTAAATATTATGTATAACATTTGTGATGTACATATTAGTACATATGAAAATAGATTTATTTGCTTTGCGTCGTATCGACTGGCACCGACTTCGAAAATATCTGATTTGTATCTATATTAAATGGAAAACCCCCGTTCAGCTATATTTTTTTTATTGCCTAGGTATTTATTTGAATGTTTTTATTATTTATTTTTATTGGAAAGTTTTTTGAATAAAAAGTCTATAAAATTCCTTATTAACATACATTATTTATGTGTCATGTCGTGTATAAAAAATATATTATACAATATAAACATATTGTGTAGTTATATTGTATAATATATTTTTTATATAGTATTAAGCAACTAAAAAAGAATACCTTTGTACTCTACTTGCTACAAGTCAGTACCACTATCAAAAGTAGCTCGAAATCTTAATAACATGTAATAAAATAGAAACAAAGGGAAATCTGTACATTATTTTTTTTAAACAATGACAACAAAAAAATTGACATTTGACGAGTAAAAATTCTAAAAATAAAAAAAATCTAATCATAAAATCTACAAAAAGCAAAACTTAAACCCAAATAGAACATGATAAAAATCATAATTAAAAATACATAATAAGGATAGGCTTTCAATATGAATTAAGGTTATGATAAAGATTTTAAAAACACTTTCCTAATATTGTATACATCTTGATAATTAAATAAGTCTATGTTAATAAATTTTTCATTATAATGATAGCAAGCTCGATTAATTTTGATCTTGCTTTCTACATATATTTTTGTTCAAAATAATGCATTTTATTTTAAATTAATATATTAAATAATCTTATGTATGTATGTATGTGTATGTATTCAGCCCTTTTAACGTCCCACTGCTGGGCACGGGCCTCCCTTCATACGAAGGGGATCAGGCCATAGTCCACCACGCTGGCCAAGTGCGGATTGGCGAACTTCACATGTCTTTCGAAAACTTGCAAGGTTTTCTCAGACATGCAGGTTTCCTCACGATGTTTTCCTTCACCGTAAGGCAAGTGGTAATCAAGTTAGAAATGATTCGCACATGAAAATATCAGAGGTGCGAGACCCGGGATTTGAACCCTGCTTCACTCGGTTTCCCAAGCGAGCGCGTTACCACTGGGCTACCACTGCCTTTTTTAATAATCTTATACTGACACAAATAGGTAGGGAAATAATACAGTATCAATATAATCAACGTTTTAATGTCTTCACATCAACCAGCCGGCTTTAACAAGCGATTTCTAATTGATTTATCTCCTAAAGTTATTAAGATCTCTTTCTATAATTTTATTATAAAATGTATATATACTAATCTTACTTTTGCAGTAAAAAAATGAAAATTAAAATGGTGGAAGTTATTAAAATTTTTATTTAAAATATTCACTTACGCTTTAACACTAGAAAAATAATTCAAATATAAAATCTGATTAAAAAATCAAGAAGGACACTAAATTCTATATACAGAACACCACATTTGTTAATTTATTTCTAATAACTTCAATATTATAAAAGAATCCAAAAACCCTTATTTCAATCTGATCAATTCTTTAGAATCCCTTAACTTGACAACTAAACCTCGAATAAAAAAATATTATGTGTCCATGATCATATCCCCTAGAGGTTCAAATATGCCTAATATGAACGAATTTCAGGACCTCACTTTATTTTCGTTGTCCGCTTCACGTGAAATGGGCCATAATTTTAACTAAGCAAATCGACCATCGGTAAGCCAGCCGAGAAATCGATCTTCTTCAAATCAATCTTGTCCCCAGATGTCTTATCAAATCGGTTAACATATCACGCATTGAGTACGCACCGAGTACCGATGGGTGAACATATTAACCTTCATTATCAAAGTAATTAAACAAAAATAAAATACACGGACAGAAACGCAGGCAAAGGCTTAGGCCAAGAGTTATTATAATTTCACTACAATACAATACTAATACATATATTTTTGGTGGTTATATTGACATTGGTAGGTATCGTGAAAATTACCATACGCGATCAAAATCACAGAATATTTAATTTTATTGACACCTTTATTTATTTATGTAAATTAATAAATAATTAGAAGAATGTACGAGCTAAAAAAATGTTAATGAATGTTTGTGTGGTAAAGGTCATCTACCAGTATACATAATAATATGTATGTATGTATATATAATAAAATAGTAACAAAGCGAAATCTGTACATGGAATATTTTTAAAAACAATGACTGTTACTTATTGTGTACATAATATAGACACCAAAACAAACGTTATCGAAATTTTCGGCTGTTTGTCTGAATATCTATTTGTCTGTATAGCTGTTTGTTTACTTTACACGCAAATAATACTGAACGGCTTTTAACTAAATTTTCTGTAGTGAACTTATTACTCGGCTCAACATTTAAGATATCTTTTACTACAGTAAAATCTTTCATTCCCACGAAAAAACAATAAATGATTCTGTCGAGTTGTCCTTATGGCCTAAGAGCCTGTGAACGCCAGACCTTCGTCATTTTATAAAAGCTGAAAGTTTGTCAGCGCATGCTCCCAACACAGATAAGAACGATGGACCATTATGAAGTTCAGGCTATGGTGGCTTTGGCAGGTACACGGTACTAAAGGTGTGTAATAAAGTAAAATGATTATATATATATATATATATATATATATATATATATATATATATATACACTGACACACAGACACTGGTACCGACTTCGAAAATATCTGATTAGGTATCTATTCTAAATGAAAACCTCCGTTTAGTTATTTTTTACATTTTAGTGCCAGTCGGTTTCTTTTTTTTAAGTTTTTATTTTTCCATATTTAGTGTAAACGTAACAAGTAGGTAATTTGTAAGAAGAAAGTTTTTTAATAACATATTCGATTAAGCAATTTATAAAAAAAAAATTGTAGATTTTTTTAAAAATCGCTTGACCGATTTCGATAAAATTTAAATAGGACCACCTAGGAAGTATACGCTTCGAAACAAAAAAAATCCAAATCGGTTCAGGCATTTTCGAAGTAATTGGTGAACATACCTAAAAAAAAGATTTGGACGAATTGAGAACCTCCTCCTTTTTGGAAGTCGGTTAAAAATAAAAGAAAGTTATAATAGTTCTGCGGATTCTTTCGCCAGATATTCTCATATAACGCTTTTTCAGAATTTAAGATCAATATTACTCATACATAAGTATATAGTCCAGTCATATTAGTCAAAATAGGGCAAGTATCTCGAAATTGGAAATAGTCAGCTATAAATTTGTATAAACCTTTATTTTGACACCCTGGAACTTGTCTCAAAACCTACTTATTGTAGAGTATCCTCGACTACAGATATCTAAGGTCAAAGGTCAAAAAATTTGTCTTTTTGCACATTTTTTGTAAATATCTCGTTTCCTGTATGTTTGAAGCTATTTGTATTTAATATAAATATTAAATTCTCTATAACTTTTATTTAAAATTTAAATTCAAATATAACATACATTTAAACAAAAAACAACAGTAAATAGCGATACTAAAACTTTATAGTGCATATAATTAAGTATGTCTCACAACAAGTCATTATTATTAATTTATTTAAAATAATCTATTACTACTATGTATTAAGATTTCCAGAGTAATTTAACAATGAAGCACAGACTTACTTTAAATTAATTGAGCTGTTAAACGTTTTCGATATAGATGCAGCACATTTACTTAACATTTTCACTGAAAGCACCAAGCTTCGCTAAAAACAATTTACAACTGAATGTTATCTAGTTTACTGTCGCGTATTATAATTATTGTTATCGATGGCCGGAAGGAAGGTCAATCTATATTATCATATATAAAATTACTTGTCCTGACTTATTTATCAACGCAGAGCCTAAACCGCAGGGGTTTAAAAGTTGAAATTTTGGCAGTAAAAGCATTTTATAATGTAAACATCCACTAAGGAAAGATTTCTTGGAAATTCCACCCCTAAAGAGGTAAAATAAGGAATGAAAGTTTGTATGAAAGTCTGTGATTTTTAATGCGAAATAAACGAAAAAGTAATATTCACCTTTAAAATATAAAATAAGAAAAGACGTATATTAAGTTTTTTTGACAATCGTCTCTTAAAGGGGTAAAGGAGGGTGATAAGGTTTATATGGGGAAAAAATTGTTTATGATCAGAATTACTTGAAACCTGGGATTAACGCTCTTCAATACAATTAAATAAACATGTGTTGTAGAATTTTTCGAAATTTATCGAATAAGGGGTTAAAATACGGGATGAAAGTTTGTATGAAACTGTGTATTTTTTTTCGTTAAATGAACGGAAAGTGGTATTTACCTTTAAAATAAGATATAAAACAATACGTATATCAGATTTTAGATTTTAAGAAAGGGTAAAAGAAGGTTATAATATTTATATGGGAAATAATTATGATCAGAATTACTTCAAACTTTATACTAATGATCTTCAATTCAATTAAATAAACACGTCGTGTTTTAGTATTTTTTGTAACACGTCGTTTTGTAGTGTTATAATAAATTGATGGGGTAAAATAAGGGATGAAAATTTGTAATTTATTTATATTAAATTCTAAATTGGAAAATGGTATATATATGTGTAAATTGTCTTTTTTGCAAATACCCGAAAACTTTATGTAAAAAGGTTATTGTAAAAAGGTTATTGTAAAAAGTAAGGAGGTTATTGTAAAAAGTGTTATATACAAAAGTTGTAGATTTTTACTAGAACTACAACTTTTTCAAAAACATTTTTCGATAGAACGTCACAGTAGATTATCTTGAATGAATATATCTCTATGAATAATTATACACATGTATTATGAATATAAAGCTGTGTATATAGAGAAGTATTGTTGTGTTAAACTCACGTCACTATGTTTTAGGAAACCTTTAAACATAAATAAATTTAGGTATTATATAATATTTTATTTTCTATTATTTAGAATAAAGATTTTTTTTATTTTAATTCCGACCTTACTCCACTGACAAAACCAGTGAATTGGCGAATAAAAGAGCTAACGAATTAACAGTGACATTTCGAAACTAACAAATTAAAAAAATCCTCAAACTGGCGAATAAGGAAACTGACAAGCTAGATAAACCGATCAATTAAGATTTTCCTTAATTGGTCGTTAGTGAGTTCGCGTGTGAGCTGGCGAGGCGAGTTACTGCAGTGTAGCAACTTGCACCGTATGACCGCATCATGCGAGTTACTGCCATGTACGAGTCGGTTAGTAGCTCGCATCAGAGTTACTACAACATTCTTTGTTTTTACTCGCCTGAATGTCAATTCGAACATTTTTAACGAAATGACAGTAGCTCATACACTCATGCGCACTCCGGCACTTTTAGCTCGAAGTATTTCAACGCAAAGTATTTTTGTAACTGCTTTTATTGTGGTATGAACTATGATCAATTCATTTTGCGACATAATTGCACGCCATATACATATACGTTGAACGATTGAGCGAGAGCCACGAGACATGCGAGTACAGAGGTGTAGTAACTGTCTACTATCATGCCAGCAGCTCGCACTCATGTGACCGGGTGAAGCGAGTCGAGCTACCATCATGCATGTACAAGTGGCAGTATAGCTGTCTACTGTCAACGCCAGGCAACCAGGCCTTAACTCTTCTAAAATACTAGCTAGACTTCCCCTTGCTTCGCTTGGGTACGTTTTAAATAGATAAAAATAGTTATTGCGAGTGGACCTTAGGAGATAGACATATGCTATTGCTAACTTTTCTGTAGGCCTTTTTAAGACCTACAATTTTTTAATATATTATTTTTATGTATCTCTACAGTTTTAGGCAGTTTAAGTATGTGCAGCGTCAGCTATGTTTTCTAAGGACTACTTGACAGAACCAGTTAGTTGTTTACCCGTGGGAATGATTTTCCTGTAGTAAAAGGTATGCTAAATGTTGAACCAAATAATAGGTTATCACTATCAAAATTAGGTTAAAATCCGTTCCCCCCCCCCAACGTGCGTTCACCTTGTCGTGGTGGGGGGGCTCAGTAGTGCCCGGCAATCCAACCAGGTGCGAAGCTAAGAAACGCACAAGGAGGTTGCCCACTTCGGTGGGCGGTGGGAGGTGGCCCTCTTTGGGGGGCGGTGTACCATGCGGGTTGCTCCTGGTACTTCTCTGATAGCAGAGTGGACTGTGGAGTAGCCCCATGGTTGTGGTGGTCTGCTTCGGCAGACCTGCCGTCGGGGCGTCGTAGTTGAATGCGTAAGCGATCCTGCGACGCCCCATTAAGACGGGGGAAGGTTTTGTTGGGTTTTAGTGGGTAGTACTGGCTGTATTACGCCGGTGAGTCCCACACGTCGTGCGTAAATGCATTTCCCAACATTAAAAAAAAAAAAAAGGTTAAAATCATTCATTCAGTACTTTTTGCGTCAAAAATAAATATATACCGACAAACAGACAAAAATTTCAATAACTATTGTTTTGGGATCTACGATTATGAGCCAATTTTGTACATAATACGTAAGTCACTATTTTTTAAAAATATTACTTGTACAGATTTCGCTTTGTTTTTATTTTATTATACGAATATAGATATAGATAGATATTGTCATTAGATTCATTAGTGCTGTTTTGTCGACCTAATTAAACTCATGACAATATATTTTAGTATAATGAGTAGGTAATAATAACCTTGCTTTAAACATTTTGTAAATAGCAATTATAATTAAGGATTTTTGTTTATAATAATTACCATTAAAATTACATATATCTGCTGTTGAATGAATAATATCTGTCATAATGCCAACTTAGTTCAAATAAAAAAAGGAGTACAATCCAATAATAATTTTATTTGAAAATATACATATAATACTTTTATTAGTCTACTAGCATTGCCCGCGGCTCCGCGTTCAGATGACCAAAAACCAAATTCTTAGGTTTTACGTATTAGTTCTCTAGTCTTACATTGCAGTTTTTGTATTTTTTCTCAGAAATGACATATTTTCTCGCGGTAAAAAGTATCCTATATGTTGACTCGGATCCCTCCAGTGGATTTTCTGTGATGCGGTGACAGACAGACAGACAGACAAAAATTCTAAAAACTATAGATTTGGCCTCTGTATCGATAATAATGTTTATTTCTATAAGATTTTCCAAAAAATATTTAATGTACAGATTCAGCTTAGTTACAATTTTATTATATGTAAAGATTACACCAAATAACTCATATATTTCCTGATTCAACTAATTCCTTTATTTTATACTTAAGTATCTTGCCGGAACTTGATTTAGGATAATCTTCGACAACTTTTACTATTTTAGGAATTTTGAATTTAGCTATTTTTCCACTGCAATGATTTTTAATATTTTCAAGAGTTACAGAAGTGTCTTCCCGAACTCTGATAACAGCACAAACTTCTTCTCCGAGCCTTTCATCTGGCACTCCAATTACCTGAGAGAAATATAATAATTTTACAATGTACCTAATGTAAACATTTTTATTTAAAATTTGATAATTTATTTGATTATGATGATGTTCTCCTAGCTGATTCCGGCTACGGCGGCCAATCTCATTGAGACTAGCCAACTGCGCAGGAGATATTATAGTGCACAAGTGTACGCGCAGACACAAGGGCACTCTCTATTCCTGTCACTCTCATACTCCAGTGGGACGACTACTCAACACGACCAGTGAGAGTTCATTTATTAAGTTTATGTTTATTTATTAAGTTTTGTTGTTTCTTTATGAAGTTTATTTCTAAATAGATATTAATAACAACTTTTTGCATACATGAATAGCATTACTCAGTTGACTTGATTGACTAATGAGAAGCAAACTAAACAAAGCCAATTGTCTCGCAGGTATTGCACCGTAAAATTACATTTCATCAATAATGTAAAGAATAAAATCAGTGGATAATCAATATCTTTTATAATTGTACGAGTATATTTTAAAAGTAGTGTTAGCCCAATGGTAATACGCTTGCTTAGAAAATCGCCCACAATGCACATGCACATTACCCATACAAATTATCAGTTTTAAAAATATAATTAGGTAACTGTTTTTTACGTAGTTTCTCGTTACATTATTTTTTCACTTTTTATCGTGGCTTTAAGTAATTGTTTTAACGCCCGACGCAGAAGAGTCGTCTTATAAGTTTAACGTGTCTATTTGTATATCTCTGTGGTCGTGTATATGTGTATCTGTGTGTCTGTCTGTGGCATTGTAGCTCCTAAACGACTTTGATGCGGTCTTTTTGTTTGAAAGCTGACGTGATCGAGATGGTTCTTAGCTATAATTTATAAAGATCAGTTCAAGCATTTGATGATCATCAACTCATTTGCTACTTGACAAAAGGGTCTAACTAACATCCACAGATCCGAATGATTTGAAATTAGGTGTAATTCAAAGACATAGACATAATACTTTCTTAGATTTACGCGAATGTTTGACATTATTAAATAAAACTATCTTTTCGGATTATTTCGCGGATTTATTTTGATTTTTGGTTCCCGACGTTTCGAATGCTTTACAGCATCCATGGTCACGGGAGAGACTGAGGTGTTACATGTCTTAAAGATATAGTTGTTACAGACAGCCTACCCACAATCAACAAAATGAAAATTGCACCAATTACATTACAATATTTTAACTTTAAACATTTTTATAATTTTAATTATAATTGAATATGGAAAATTATTTATTTAATTTTTGCTATTATTTTTATAATTATTACAATTTTAAAAATATTAATTAGTAATCTATATTTAGTGTTGCCATTATTATATTTATAACCATAAAGAAAAATATAAAATATAGTATTAATTATTTAAGCTATATAATTGTTCAATGTGTAATTTAAAAAGTTAAAGTTAATTAAGGATTATAATTTTAATTTAGTTTGCTATTATTTAAAAACAACTTACTAAGCAACACTATTAATATATACTTTTACAAATGAAAAATATCAATCTGATAAGCTGTCATTTTGATCTACACAGTATGAACTTACTACATCTGCCTGTCTGTTATGTTTATATTTATTATTTGATTTTATTATATTAATAACAGGATCCCATGACGATGGTAGTACCCAGCCATCTTCCCTATTGAAATTTGGATGTTTTTTAATTTCGAGAAGCCATAGAAATTAAAAAACATCCAAATTTCAATAGGGAAGATGGCTGGGTACTACCATCGTCATGGGATCCTGTTATTAATATAATAAAATCAAATAATAAATATAAACATAACAGACAGGCAGATGTAGTAAGTTCATACTGTGTAGATCAAAATGACAGCTTATCAGATTGATATTTTCATTTGTAAAAGTATATATTAATAGTGTTGCTTAGTAAGTTGTTTTTAAATAATAGCAAACTAAATTAAAATTATAATCCTTAATTAACTTTAACTTTTTAAATTACACATTGAACAATTATATAGCTTAAATAATTAATACTATATTTTATATTTTTCTTTATGGTTATAAATATAATAATGGCAACACTAAATATAGATTACTAATTAATATTTTTAAAATTGTAATAATTATAAAAATAATAGCAAAAATTAAATAAATAATTTTTCCATATTCAATTATAATTAAAATTATAAAAATGTTTAAAGTTAAAATATTGTAATGTAATTGGTGCAATTTTCATTTTGTTGATTGTGGGTAGGCTGTCTGTAACAACTATATCTTTAAGACATGTAACACCTCAGTCTCTCCCGTGACCATGGATGCTGTAAAGCATTCGAAACGTCGGGAACCAAAAATCAAAATAAATCCGCGAAATAATCCGAAAAGATAGTTTTATTTAATAACATAGACATAACATTGAGCCAATGATGTAGAATCAGTCAATCAGAGTCTGTGGGATTCTCAATTCCTCAGAAACTTACAGCAGATATCTATTAGAATTAAAAAAAAGGAAATATAATTAAAAATTTTAAATACTTCCCGACACAAAAAACTAACAAGTAAAAAAATTAAAATTTTTATTGGCCTTTTAACTACATTAAAAGTACCTATTTTATTAATATTTTGATGATGAGCGTCGCCGTGTTGGGGTACCACTAAGTAAATAAAATAAAAACTATAATACAAATAAAAAGAAGATTGATGATAATAGATTGATAAAATATTAGCGGTTTCCCGACGCAACTACGCTCATCATCAAAATATTAATAGATACTTTTAATGAAGTTAAAATGCCAAGAGAGTTTTTTTTTATTTTTAGTGTTTTTTGTGTCGGGGGTTACTTATAAAGTACATACAAGTTGGATATTTAAGAACTTAGCGTACATATTATTATGACACTCGAAACAATACAAATTTCAATTTTGCCAGAATTAAAAAAAATCTGAGTATACACTTGCTATAAATAGGCTACGAGTATATTAAATTGACTATTGATTGTATAGCAGCAGTACTTGAAGAAAAAAATTACTTTCCATAATTATACTTCTTATACGTATATTTAGTGATGTAAACTAACATGTAGCAATATTTATGTACATACTCGTAGATATATAGATATAGTACAAATATTTACCTGTAATTATTTTCTTATTGGATCAGCGTTTTAAATAAGTGTTTCAATTACCTGGCTTTCAATTATATCAGGATGCGTATTTAGAAAGTCCTCTACTTCCTTAGGAGCGATGTTCTCTCCGCCACGGATGATAATCTCTTTTATTCGACAAACAAATGTTCCGTAACCCTCACGAGATATTTTGAGTTTGTCTCTAAATTATAAAAAAGCTCATAAATATATCATCACAATAATAATATGAACCTAAATACCAACTTCTAAAGTTCTAAAGAAAAAGTTTCTAGTTCACTTTCTAAAGAAAAATTATCCAAATACTATATTTTCCTCTCTCTTACTAAATTATTTTTGCATTAAAATAAAGAATCTATGAACTAATTGATAATAATTGCTTCCAATCCAAAAAAAATTGTACGCGCGTCCCCGGCTTTCTGTTACACAATTCCGTCCCTTTCCACGAAATCTTACCTACAGATTGCAGGAAAGCGAGAAGACGATGTTACACATCAATAAATAGTAGATGAGTTACAATGTTAATGCCATTGAAAATTTGTCTCGTAAAAATAACTCTGTGTAAAAATTATCTATCTCACCCAGTATGTAACCATCCATCGTCTTGCAACACCTTCTTTGTCGTTTCGGGCTCGTCCCAATAACGCAACATATTGCTGTACCCACGCACCATTAGCTCACCAGGGGTATCAAATGGTACCATTTCTCCTTTATCGTTTACTACCTAGTCATTGAGATATGTTTGTATAATAAATACTTATCTAAATAGGCATGATAGGGATATATTTATTTTTATATAGTCATTTAACTGAAAAAACATTAGTGTATCACAATATAAAAAAAATATAAGAAACGGATTCACAGAACATGGTATTCCAATTATAGGATGACATAGCGTGGACAAACACAATGTTATTCTAATTCTAGTTTTACTTACATATTATATTCAAAATAGAAAAAGAGATGAAAAATGAAACAAACCATTAAATAAGAAAATCACCATTAAACATAAGACGCAAAACCAAAAACATTTTTTGAAAACCAAAAAGTAGATGATTTAATATTAAAAAAAGAAAAGAATTATATATTACTAGCGACTCACCCTCGTTTCGCTTTGGGTTCGACCCTAGACAGAAACAAATCTTTCCCACGGGAACCGTACATTGTTCCGGGATAAAAAGTAACCTATGTGCTATTTCAAACTATAATCTATTTTTGTGACAAATTTTATCCAGATCCGTTCAGCCGTTCTGGCGTGAAAGAGTAACAAACAAACATCCATCTATCCTCACAAACTTTCACATTTATAATATTAGTATGTATAATTCATAAAAAGATTAAGGTTAATTAGTTAGGTACATAAAAGGAAAGTGTACACAATAGTTTCTATATTTAAAAGTGAAAAAGGAGTACCTATATGAAGAAGTGACGAATAAATTCCTTTAATAAAAATTGAATGCAGGGTAAAATGGGTTCTTTCGGATATATTGAACCATCAATACTACTAGGTATTAGATATTTTTTTCTACTGTCTGTACTGTTGGATGTAATGAATGAAGTTTTTTAATACATAACTGTTTAGCATTAGGTGTTATACCTTTACTTCAAAATGATCGGCAATATAGCCCACAGTTTCGAAGACCCGCTTTATGTCGTCGCCCGGCAGTGATTGAAACACAGGGCCCCCTGTCTCTGAAAGACCGTAAGCCTGGAGAATATCAAATAAAATAAAGTAACTTTGAGAAAGTATTAGTTTAATTCTTAAAACTAAAAACTGTTTACTTATTATATATTTTCAACTAATTTACAATATATGTATATATTGTTTAATTTTTTAATGCTAATTTCATTATTTTATTTACTTTCCTAGACATTTACATTTCCTTCAAGAAGATACACAACTTATTCTGTTATCTTCTTAAGTGTATATTATACTAGCGACTCAACCTCGCTTTGATTCGGGTCCGCCGCTAGACAAAAACAAATCCATGTCACGGGAACCGTACATTTTTCCGCGATAAATGTAACATATGTGCTATTTAAGACTATAATTTATATCTGAACCAAATTTCATTTAGATCCTAGATATAGAAAAATAACAAACATCCATCCATTCATCCATCCATCCATCCATTCATTCTCACAAACTTCCACATTTATAATATATTAGTACCTACTTGGGCCACCGAGCTCCGCTCGGAGTTTTTGGTCAAAAGTACAATTTTCTATTAAAAAAAACAAAGAACTTGAATAAATACAAAAAAATAAAAAATAAATTATACCTTTGTATCCGACCGGGATTCGAACACGGACACTTATTCTATCTTGTGCCTTGGCCGCTTGACCATGATGCTTATATCCGAGCGTGCGAAATTATCGAACATAATATTTTGCGTGGACTAATGCAAAAGAAAACCGCATGAAAATTCGAAAACACGCGTTTTCCCTGACATAAGACTAATCTAGATCGATTTATCGCTCCCGAAACCCCTTGTATTCTAAATTTCATATAGATAATATTAGTAGGATATATATTAAAATATTAGTAGGATGGTAAATATTACCTGAGCAGAATGCGTATTGAGTCTATCATTGATTTCTTTTAGAAGATTAAGACTGCATGGCGCGCCACCTGTTAGCGCCAAGCGTAGACTTAACGGCATATCACTCTTTAGATAGGAGAGTATATCTGTATACATTGTTGGTGTACCTATTATTATTGTGCATCTGTAAATTGTAATGTATTATGATTTTTTGGTTTACTAATCGTATTACTCCTGTTGGTTTCTTGGTCTGCACCTATATGTACCTATACTTGTATGCAGTGTTCACACAAAAATATCACTCGCTTTAGAGCGAGAGGCCTAGCTTTTGTGAGCTTGACCGCCATTTCCCGTAAATTGATCAAGACGATACTATTTGCTTACATCATATGAGCCAATATTATAAACCAGGATATTAAAAACTTCCAGACATTTTGTTTCATATTATTTTACAAATCTTATACCTAATGCCACAAAGACTACGAATTTTAGTTTCCTAGAATTATTTTTACAAACCCTTAACCTTAAATCAAATCCTTGACTTTCAAATATGAAATATATTTATAAGGATAGATTACGCTAATAGATAAGTATTTGTTGAATTGGCAACTTGAATTCTTCAAATAATTAATAATTCAAATTGCGGGGCACGAGCATGGAGCAATTAGCACCAAATAATAAGATAGAACTTAGTAAGTATTTCCACTTTAAATTCGAAACATTTTATTAGATTAAGTAGAGCATAAAAACATTTAAAAAAAATATTTAGTGAGAGGACTGGATAGCTTAGTCAGAATACTAATAATAATAATAATTTGTAGATAATCTACTTACTTTTCGGCACAGAGTGCGTTTAGACTAGCCACGGCTCTGAACATAGGTGAGGGCATTACGACCGTAGAGCCGTGGCGCAGCGCTGTCAAAAGAGCCCCAATAGCCCCCAAAGCGTGGAACATAGGTGACTAGTGTATAAAAATACATTATTATCATAAATATTAATGAACCATAATATATAATTTTTGTAAATTATAAAACTGACAACGATATGATTTCTTATTTTTTATTTTTATATAGTAGATAAATATAACGTTTTATGTCAAAAATGAAAAAAAATCAATATGTATATAATAGTGTATAAAAAAGAGTAACACCTGAGAAACCAAACTTTGCTTAGCGTAAGCGCTCGTTCAGTAGGTTATTCATTAATGATAATGCATGTATCACAAAAATGCACAAAATGGCAATATGATATAACATTGTCAGCATTAGAGCAAATAGAAAAAGGTTTTAACAATAATTAGTTACAAAAATAAACTTTTTTTATGGGACAAATTGCACTGTTTTTAAAAGATATAAATAAATATAAAAAAGCAAAATCTTAATAGAAAATTTGATCCAAATCGTGAGAATAGCTAAGATAAGATTTTACTTTACACTTAATATACTCACCTGTAGACATACTACTTGATGTTTATCTTGCAAGCCTAGTCTTTGACCAATAAAGTAAGTACTATTCACTATTCCAAAATGGGATGCTAGGACACATTTAGGTGTACCTAAAATATATAAATAGCATGTATGAACATAATATACTGAAAATCATACCAAAGAAAAAATACGAATGTTTTTTGACTACGATTTCGGCTAGATTTCCGCTGTTAGTTTCAGGATTTACTATATTATTGTTAGAATTATTTGTTACAAATATGGTGTTTTGCTTCCTAGATAAAATATACATAGTGTTGCCCTAAATATTGTTACAAAGAAAAAAACATTTTTTCAATTCCACATAACATTTATTACTATTACAGTACATACTGTTAGTTTAATTTAATACATTACTATAAGACCATTAAAATTGAATAATATATAAAGTTTATTCAAAGTGGTCTCCATTGGCTGCAATACAGTCTTTTAAACGCTGGCCTCATGCCAGTTATCAATAGAAGCACGCACTCTTTCCATGGGAAAATTCTTCACTGCCAATCGTATGGATTGTTTTAGGGACTCCAAATTATCATGGCATTTAGGACAAGCCATACTCTCTAAACTGACCATAAATCATAATCCAGCGGATTAATATCGGGACTAGATGACGGCCAGTCTCCAGCTCCGATGAAGTCCGGAACATGGGTTTCTACCCAAGATTGCGTGGATCGAGCTTTATGACCCGGCGCTGAGTCTTGCTTAAAGGACTATTCTTGGTTATTGAACATGGTGTTGTTAAAGGGCTTAACTATCTTCTCAAGAATGATATCTTGATACACTTGTGCTGATGTTTTAATACCTTTTTGACAAAAATTTGGCTCAGTCACTCCTTCATAGCTAACATTCCACCAAACCATTATTGAAGTCGGATAATGCCCACGTTGTACTCTGTTGACTAATCGGGAAGCTTCCATAGAGCTTTGAGCATAAATACGGTCATTTTGTTTGTTAAAATATTGCTCAATTTTAAAAAAAATCTCATAATTCTCATAAGTAAACAAAAATTTTCTGTGACCTCCCTTTGCGTACCCCTTAACTAGTTGTTTTGATTTTACCACCCTATTCTTTTTTAATCAGTTATCGTAATTATTAGTTAAGAAATGACCAGTGCGTCTCTTATGGGCTGCAAGTCCTAAGTCATCTTCTAAAATACGGATATGGTTTTAGGTTCTATCTTCATCTCCCGAGATAAAATCTTTTGCTTTCGGACAGGATTTCTTCGAATTCTTTCCCTTAATGCTTTGATCGCCTTTTTCGTACGAACACTACGTGGATGGCCAGATCTTTTTCTGTTACAAACAGAGGAAGTTTCGTTGTACCTATCAATAGCCCGGTACACTAACTTTTTACTAATACCAAGCGTATTAAAAATTGTATTTGGCTCCATACCTACTTTGTGTAATGCAATCACAGCGATTCGGTTCTCTTTATCACCCCACTCCATGTTAATATCACAGAATATTTTACAATGTATTGGCGCGAAAATTATAAAACACAATGAACAATCATAAAAAAATGACATTCCAAATTCAAATGTAATATTTTGTTTATTTTTAATAGTAACAGTATTCATGGCAGACTATGTAATATTATATGTAAGTAATAACCACCTACCCGTAGTCCCCGACGTCATCATAATTATAACGCCATCTTCTGGTTTTATTTGACTACTATATTTTTTTATTTCGCTATTGTTTCTATAATTATCAATAAATGAATTAAGTGTTGTAACTCCACTGAAACAAAGAAATGTGAAAAATAGGAATGATAAGAACTTCCATTTCATTTTTCTGTTCACATGCGCTTGACTTAGCCTTGTCACTTTAAGGGCTAGAGAAAAATGATCATAGAAATTACGTGGCCAGTATTTAATTAAAAAATCACGTAAATCTGTATACATCTTATCGTATACACGTACGCATAACAAATTATCAGAATTGAAATAATAAAAAAAAGGTAAAATACCCACGTATCTTGCTACTAGTGAAAGAAGATTTTTTTAAGAAATTGAGGGTAAATTAAAAAAGGCAAGTACACGTACAATCGCTGGGCAGTAATTAGTTAATATTTTAAACAATTTATATATCTATTCTTCTCTTTTACTTACTGTAGTTTTTCCTTTCCCGTTGTAATAATTGATTTTAAACTGGGACAATTTCCTGATTGTAACGACCATTCTCTAGACAAATGTAGCTCTGGTAACATTTCGTGCAAAACTTTATCATAATTAACGTTTTTAATATTGTCACCTATCAATATTCCTTTTAATTTGGTCTTGTTAATACAAAATCGCAATTCATCACTTTGATATAATGGATTTATTAAAACCTGGAATTTAAAATTATATTGTCGTTACATATAATTTAAGTGCCGACTAAAATAATCTGACATTATAATTGTTTTTTTTTATATTTGTATTCATAATTGGCTGCAGAAATCTAAGCACACAGTGGACAACGTATATTTCTCCCTTGTAATTGAAAATCTCTCGAAAACACTTTTCTACTATTTTCGAATAACAATAATTTAAAATATGTATTACTGATTACCGATATAAGTCCAGCTCTAGCAGCCCCAAGTAAGGAAGTCACCCATCCAGAAGAATTGTGAAGCCATATTCCTATTCGGTCACCTTTTTCAAAGCCATTCGCTCTGAAAGCACAACCTATGGAATCAGCCTGAAACAATATAAATAGATAACAATATAAATAAATAATGCGTAAGTGTTCCTGCGATACTACATTAAGGCGGAGAAGATTCCGTTGCGTTTTAATGGGTAGTTCTGGCTTTTCTAGCCCGTAAATCCCACATAGCCACCTGCAAACATGCAGGTGGTTACGGGGGTTTGACTCTAGGACCGTGGGAAAGGACACTAGCACTCTACGTAAATATTCCTGCGTAGCCTTCGTTGAGTAATAGTGAGTAGCTTTTGTAGCTGATGAGAAAATACATAAATGCATTTTCCAAATTTTCTTTTAATATGACTTTTGATATGTGTATGTAAATCTACTATCTAGTAAGGAAAAAAATTTAACTTACTACTATTTTCTTACATATCTAGTAAATAAATTACTTAAAAATGATTACTTTAGTTTCATTCCGTCTAACATACCCGAAAAACCCACTGGTTTCTCGGGTATGTTAAAATTTCCGAAACCAATTATGGAATAATATATCCATAATTGATTTCGGAAATTACAAGTGATTAAGGAATATATTAAAATAAACTGAATTAATTAAATTCAATTCTCTCCATAAGACAAAGAAGTCATATTCTTATCACTTTGATATTTAATCCACTATAATTACCACAATAAATCTACAATGTTAAGGTTTAATTAATTGTTTTTAAAATTTTCTTGATTATTCATCTTCGCAATACCGCAAAAACTTAATAAAATATAGTACCCTTACTTTTTTTACCTGTCGTTTTTATAACATCTAATTTACGTTTTAAACTTAACAGCTACTTTATTTATTACATTCGTAATCGTATTATTACCACTAAAACAAAAATCACTCCAGTAGTTTTAGAGTTATGCAAACAAACAGCGCATACAACGAGACACGGGTGTAACGCAAACAATATCCCTATGCCAAGCTACCCATAAGAATCGGGGGCAAGTAATATTTATTAAAGAAATATAGATATCTTATATTGATACTATTTCTATAAAATGTTGTTATTTAACTGATTAGGTAACAATTTATTACAAAATTGTTGAATAGATGCTTTCATAGATAGGTAATGAATAAATTAACCGACTTGGTTTTACATTAGATCTCTCAAATTTTTTACACGTGTTTTGTGTTATGCTTCGTTTTTCTACACGTTTTGGATGGGATTTCTTTGACAGCAATAATTACAACAACAAGACTGTCAAATAAAAGTTGCACTATTGAAATATAAAAAGATACATAGAAACTTATTAAAGAAAATAGCAACTCACCCTCGCTTCGCTCGGGTTCGCCTCTAGGAGAACGAAAACAAACCTATCCCACGGGAACCGTACATTTTTACGGGATAAAAAGTAGCCTATGTGTTATTCCAGACTATAATCTATTACTGTGCCAAATCATTTAGATCCATTCAGCTGTTCTGGCGTGAAAGTGTAACAAACATCAAAACTCACAAACTTTTACATTTATAATATTAATACGGATAAAGATATCTAATATTGATACGGTGACTTATAATGTTGTTACTTAACTAATTAGGTAATAATTTATGATAAAGTTGTTGGATAGATGCTTCCATAGATAGGTACTGAATAAATTAACGGACTTGGTTTTACATTAGATCTCTCAACTTTTTGCGGGTTTTTTTTAAATATCGCCGTCCCCGAAGAATACAATGATTACTGATATTACCATAGTTTTAGTGTTATCCCATATTTGAAGTCTACGATGCCTAATACATGCCAAATACATCTACCCAATTTTTTTCGTGAATATCCAGCCATTATTCAAAAAGTTATAGAATAATGCAATCATTTTCGTCACCCTTTCAAACACACAAGGTTTCTTGAAAAAAATATTATATGAAGTTAGTGAAACCATTTCTTCATTAAAGATACAACAAAAAAATTTGCAATAATATTCTCGAAAAACAAATCGGCAAAATAATTGTGAACGCTATTGTCATGTTGTTCTCGTAAAAATTAGCTTAGGCTCGGCGACTAACCATGAATGTTCTTAGTAAATAGTAGATATATAGAATAGAATGCCAAGTCATATTGTTTAGTCTGTATTATTCGTTAAATATTATTGTAAAATAGTAATGCGATACTCACAATATAAAAGTAACGAGAATAAAATGCTAAGTGTTATTAGTAAACAAAACCAACAACAAAATTTTAGTAACTTTTTAAATTCTAAATATTTTCAGTTCGGATGACCTTAGTATAACATATATTAAAACATTATAAAATTTAAAAAAATAGCTATCATTGAGCTTTTTTTTATCTCTCTACATCTATTGCTTAGAAAGTTAAAGTCAAAAATAGGTATTTATTTTTCCTCAAAAATTGTGTTTTTGCAGTTATCGTTTTATTCTCCGTGGGCGGTGACATTATGTTTTTGATGGGAATTCTTTGATAACCATAATTACATCGACAAGAATGTCAAATAAAAGTTGCGCTATGTATAAAAAGATACATAGAAATAAATTTAAAATTGCTACTTATTCATTTCCAAATCATAATTATTGGTGATTTAATTGTTATAATTTAAAAATATTAGATAAATATATCATGATAGGTTTTTTGTTTATATAAAGACGTACCAAATATGACGACTTTTTTTAAAAGTAGTAGTTTATGTCGTAATAAATAATAATAAAACATGGCACGTACCTTACTTATTAGTTCTTCATAAGTAATTGTAACATCTTCATGAATAGACCTAATGGCAATCCTATCTGGGTACTTGTGCGCTGTTTCCGCTATAACATCTCCCAATGTGGCTAAGCTTACAGGCTCACTCCCCGGATTATGGAGATAGCTACCATTATCAGTTCGTAACTGACGGACAAATCTGCAAATTATTCTTTTAAAAACTTCGCCCTTCGTATTTTAAAATATATCTATTTTAATCCACAAGCATACCCTGGACATAATTTTTACAAGGTTAGTACGATTTGTGCTTGGCATGTTCAGTATAAAAATAGCATTTATAATTTAATAATAATAGCATTTTTTTATTCTTAATGCTTAAATTCATATAAAGTATTAATAACTATATCTATACATTTAAATGGTAGTCAAAACTAAATTAATTTAAATGGTAGTTTAATATTATGTTTAAAGTATTCAGCCCTTTTTAACGTCCTACTGTTGGGCATGGGTCTCGGGATCAGGCCATAGCCCACCACACTGGCCAAGTGCGGCTTGGTGGACTTTACATGTCTTTTTAAAACTTGCTAGGCTCTCTCAAATATGTAGGTTCTCCAAATCTTCTCAAATATATGTATTCCTCACGATGTTTTCCTTCACCGTATAATTAAAGTACAACCCTTATAATAAAAAAGAGACTTACTTTAAATGAATTGGATTTTTGAATGTGGTCAATAAATTCAAAGCTTTAGTTAACATTTTCATGGAAAACACCAGCTCCACTGAGAACAAATATTAAATGAATCGAGAATACAAGTACGTTGTTGCTGGCTTACGTAACTATTATAATTGGAGATCGGATTATATTGTTGGGCAATTTTACCAGATATTTACCTACAATATGTTTGGTCCTCTATAAAAATAAAAAAAAATGAATCCAGAATCCATTATACAACCCACCCTCTATATAATTGTGATGTTTTTATGATTATCTAGAAAATGTTAAAATGACGAGAAAAAAAAAACAATTTTTGACGATTTTATAGTCTGATTTGCAAACTTAAGTCGGAGAAAAAACGGTCGAACGAAAACGTTTTTTACGAACGCTGCCTTAACTTTCTCTTTTACTGCATATATAATTTGGACAAAAGGTTAAAGATATAATACGACATATTCGTAGGTATGGAACCGCGACTGTGTCGTAATCTATTGAGTGATATTTCTATAAAATGTTTTTTTTTGCATATACAATACGTCAATCTATCTATACTAGTATTATAGAGAGGTAAAGTTTATGAGTTTGTGACGTTGTATGGGGTAATCTCTGGATCTACTAAACTGATTTAGATTAAATTTGGTAAGAAGATAGTTTGAGACCCTGGGAAGAACAGTACACAAATAATAAAAACTATAGATTCAGCCTCTGTAGCAATAATACCTAATGACTATTTCAATAAGATTTTCCAAAAAAAATTTAATGTTCAGATTCAGCTCTTTTCGTTCTCTTTTTCCGTTAGAATTTTATTATATGCATAGATAAGAGCTTATAGATATATGTATGCATTAATTAAGATATGTAAGATAGAGGTTAGAAGTTAAGACGTTGATTACTATGTTACGGTAACAACTACGCACTATGATGTCATAAACAGAAGAAATGGGATATTTTAATAAAACACTACAATATCAGTATGATTGAAATAAAATTTAATAGTTCATCATTATAAACATATTCCAATGCATAACAGTCATTATAATACTTTATATCAGATAACTCATAAATTTCCAGATTGGACTAACTCTTTTAATTTATATTTCAATATTTTTCCGGAACTTGTTTTAGGATAATTCTCAACGACTTTTAACAATTTTGGGATCTTGTACTTAGCTATTTTACCGCTGCAATGACTTTTAATACTTCGAAGAGTAATTTGAGCACTTTCTCGAACTCTGACAATTGCACAAAGCTCTTCTCCGAGCCTTTCATCTGGTACTCCAATAACCTAATAAGATAATAAAGTATACATACTGTAACGTTATAAAAAATCGTACCTTCGTAAATAAGGGAAATTTTACTATATGTTTACACCATAAATTGAAAATTTATCGTGGCTAAATTTTGTAAGCCTTTTTATTTTACTATTTTCGCCATGTTTAGAATTCTTTTTTAGAACACTTAAGAAATATTCAACTTCTGTCAAGTTTAAATCATTATAAATAATTTCAAACTGCAAATTGCAGTGTTGTATTGTACAAATATAATTTGTGTAGTTGTTAATAATATCAAAAAATAGAATGGGGATAGCTAATAAATTACAGACGTTGATAGCAAATATATTGTAACAAAATCTTAAGTGAGTATTAAAGGACTAATAAGACAAGGATTCTTTAACTAATACTTTGTATAAGACGGATCGTTGAATAAACAATGTATGAGCAATTTTATAATATTACCTGGCATTCAATAATATCAGGATGTGTCTGTAGACAATCCTCTACTTCTTTAGGAGCGATGTTCTCTCCGCCGCGGATGATGATATCTTTTATTCGACTTAAAATGGTGCCATATCCTTCACGAGATATTTTAAACTCATCTCTAAAATAAAAAAAATGTTAATGAAAGAATAATACCTACTTTGAAAAGGCAAAGATGAAGAAGAAGTTATTTTATTAACAAGTATTATAATTATAAAAAACTAACTTTTTTTTTTTTTTTTTTTTTTTTAACGTTGGGAAATGCATTTACGCACGACGTGTGGGACTCACCGGCGTAATACAACCAGTACTACCCACTAAAACCCAACAAAACCTTCCCCCGTCTTAATGGGGCGTCGCAGGATCGCTTACGCATTCAACTACGACGCCCCGACGGCAGGTCTGCCAAAGCAGACCACCACAACCATGGGGTTGCTCCAAGGTCCACTCTGCTATCAGAGAAGTACCAGGAGCAACCCGCAAGGTACACCGCCCCCCGAAGAGGGCCACCTCCCACCGCCCACCGAAGTGGGCAACCTCCCTGTGCGTTTCTTAGCTTCGCTACTACTACTGAGCCCCCCCACCACGACAAGGTGAACGCACGTTGGGGGGGATAAAAAACTAACTAAATCAACGCTTACGCCAACTACAATATAGGACTGGTCAAAGTAAATAATATGAACCCAAGCTCGAACTATCCAAATCTTGGTTCGAATGTATCAAATCATTGTATCATAATCCGGACTATAACTACTACTACGAAATAGGTTAAAATCGATTTCCAAGATTTGTTTGCAAATTTAGTTATAAGTGAATTTCCTAAAATATAATTTTTAACGTTATAAAATATACATAATGACATTTTAGGAATAAATATAGATAAATAACTATTTTATTAAAATTGTATTTCATGTTTACAATTAAATATTTCTAAAAATAAATTAATATTTTAAAAATCTAAATGTGACTATTTGAAAGTAGATAATAATCTATATTTCACCCAGTATGAAACCAGCCGTCTTCCAACGCCATCCTCGTCATCTCAGGCTCCTCCCAGTATTGTAACAAATTGCAATATCCACGAACCATCAGTTCACCGGCGGTCCCGTACGGCACGATTTTACCATTATTATCTACCACCTACACAACAAAGAATTTGGAGGAATAAATTAAGACCATATATTATTATAATATTGAAACTAGAATACAAAACCACTTTATTAGAGAAATAAATATTTATGCTATATCTTGCATACCATTTGCCTTTGTTAAATTATTCACAAAGTCAGGATCTAAAAAGAGCAACACGTACGATAATTTTGTTTACTCCCTAAAACATCGCATCACTACATTGAGAAAGATAATATGAGATCTCATGCATATTCATTTTCTCTGGTAAAACCAAAACGGGGCAATAATTACATTTTTATTCAAAAATCAAGAACTATTAGCGTATAGAAAATGGTCATGTATAACACATCTGCACATAATGTACAAAATCGCCTTTTTAGCAACTATTTAGCTACAAAATCACACGTATATATTTTTCGATTGATTTTGCTGACGTTTCACTTGCTAGTTTAACAGTGCTGTAAAAACTGCGTTTGTTTTTCAAAAAACGACACCAATATAAAATTTGATCGAAATCATTAGAGACTATTCATATAAATTTATTTCGATATACACGAAATAAATTTATATGGATTAAGCAAATAAACAGATTTAATTATATTATTTTATTTTTTGTTTTCATTTACTATAATAATGTGCCTTAGATCATATTATTGTACTTTAATGCAAGTGTGGAAGAGCTAGGCCTCCTGGTTATTTTTAACTTACTAGGAGGCTCTCAATCTTATACTACAAATGTTATTCAGTATAAATAAATCATTGCTCGTTTGATATAATACGAGTAAGACTAGCGACTCATCCTTGCTCCGGTCGAGTTCGTTCCTACTTACGTTTTAACGTTTTTTAATATAGATTTCTTAGAGACGAGATATTTTCCCGCAGTTAAAAGTATGTTGACCCGGGAAACCACTAACCACTCATCATACCAAATTTTATCAAAATCCGTCTACTGGTTTTTCCGTGATGCAGTAACAGACAGACAGACAAAGAAAATACAAAAGTTCTAATAACTATATATTCGGCCTCTGTATCGATAATAATGTCTATTTCAATAAGATTTTCCAAAAAAATATTTAATGTACAGATTCGACTCAAAGTTTTATTATATGTGTATGTATCAATACAATTATGTAAACATTTAAAGAATCTTTCCTTTAATCTGTCCTGTCGGGAAGAAAGTACAAAAATGTATTAATTACACAATACACATACCTTTACTTCGGTGTTATCGGAAATATAGCCAACAGACTCCGAGACTTCCTGCATACTGTCATTCGGATATGATTGAAACACAGCCCCCGCCATCTCTGTTAGACCGTACACCTGGAAACAACAAATTAAATTATAAAGGTTGACTTATTATAAAATTTCTACATTATAAAATTACTTAAGAAATTACAAACTATAACCTTATAATTTAGGTTGGTTTGCATTAACACGGGATTATGTGGGTGGATAGTTAATGCAATCCAATGAAACAATATAGTTTGATAATTTATTTATTTTGAATTATATATTAATTAGGAAGAATTTTTGACGAAATGGCTAAGTCGTGTAATTTATTACCTGTATAGGATTCGCCTTTAGTCTGTCATTTATTTGATTTAAGAGACTATGGCTACATGGCGCCCCAGACGTCATTGCAAACCGTAGACTTATCGGCATATCGCTTTTCAAGCGGGATATTATGTCTACGTACATTGTTGGTGTACCCGTTATTAGTGTGCATCTGTATATAATAATAATAAAGTATTAATAAGCTGTTGAGCTGTTGGTGAACATCATCACAGTCCTGAAATCTCCATTAACCTTTAAGCGCCCAACGGCTACTTCTCTACAGGTTACTCTGAGATGGATCCCTGCTGAAGCGTCATATCAAATAAATTTTAGGCTGACAAGGCAACTCTATTTCATATTTATTTGTTTATTTATTGGTTTATCTAAATTGGTATAAATACGTACACGTAGTCGATATTGTATTGTAACCTACAGCTTATAATGATAAATACCGCATGCATAATTATAGAAGGATTTTTTTTAAAAGCAAATGTTAAAATATTAACAATGGGAAAGTAAGACAATAAGAATAAGCTATTTAATCATAAATATAACAAAGAAAAAAGGATATAAAGTGATGGCTTGGAATTGGTAACTTACTCGTAGCTCAAAGTATGGTTCTGCGGAAGGGAGGTGAGAAAGGAGTAATGTGATTTCGAGGACGTCTCGATGGTACAATAAATCGTAATTGTGCTAATATGTTTGGACAGACACTATCTGCTGATATTATAATTTTGACAAAACGAACAATATCTATAATATCTCGTTTTTATGTAAAAGATTTACAACTACGTAGAAATCAACCAAATGTTCGGAAAACTTTGTTTTCGACATTAGATGAGAAATGATCTTGAATTTTTTTTCTGACAATGGACAATCTGTGTGTGTGTAAATGTGATTTGATAGCACTTCATATCGTTTATTTTACACCAGAAGGCAACACTATTCAGGTCACATTGCATGCAATTTATATCGACCGTTGATTCTATATGCTTGAGAAGTTTTAGATCATTAGTGCATATGTATTGTACATACATATAGTATACAATATTTTCATCGGTGTGGCAGGTCATTTACGTATATATTAAATAAAAAAGGACATAGATGAGAACCTTGAGGAAGCCCTGATGTAATGTTGAAGAAAAATAGCTCGAAACCAGCTATGGCCACATAGAATTTTCTTTAATTTAAATTTCAGTAAGTAATTTTCTAATCACTTCTTAAGGCCTTTCATGAATCCATTTTTTTTATTTCTGTGGCAATTGCTTATGCGGGACTATATTAAATATTTTAGAGAAGTCTGTAGCCTATATATATTTGACCTGTGTTCCCATTCAAGCCTTCAAAAGAGCCGGGCTACCAGGAGCCCGTTAACGCCTTTATAATAATAATATACTCTTCTGACGAAAGTGTGTCTAGAAGTTCCTCATAGTTAAAATTATTTGTTTCTATTACACGTTGTTTCTATTGTACGTAGTTGACTATATTATATTTTTCTATTTTATTTGTTTTATTTTCTTATACTAAACTACTTACTTTTCAGCACATAGTGCGTTTAAGCTAGCGGTAGTGCTGTACATGGGCGATGGGAGGACCACCGTCGAGCCATGACGCAGTGGCCCTAAGAGCGTAAGGAGAGATCCCAAGGCATGGAACAGTGGAGACTGGAGTAAAGAAACACAGTTTTATTATTTTTTCTGAATTAAATAATGCCCTAACTTTTAGCTATTACAATTTGATCGATCCTATCAAAACGTACATTTTGATTTTTAAAATGAAGAAAAATAGTGTCATCAAATTATTTATTTAGAATTTTTGACCTAGGGAAGTGTCACTTCAGTAATTATATACCTATACAAAACAAATGTACACTTAGTTATTACTGTACAAGTCATGTCCGCGTGGAATAGTGCCAAGATAGAAATTTATAAGATATATTTTAAAAATAATCAGAATATTTTACTGACCTGTAAACATACAACTTGGTGTTGTTCTTGTAAGCCGAGTCTTTTCCCAAATAAGTAACTATTATTTAATACTGCAATATGAGAATGCAGAGCGCCTTTAGGTGTTCCTTAAAAACAATGTAATAGATATATAAAAATATTTCATTAAAACAAATCCTGAAATTTTTTTTATAAAATATAAACTACCTATAAATATTACTTTTATTCTAGAGTCGTATAGAACGACTATAAAATCTATATATGTATATAAAAATCAATTGCCGTTCGTTAGTCTGGCTAAAACTCAAAATCAATTGGACCGATTTGAATAATTCTTTTTTGTTTTGATAGGGATATCAGGGGTGGATTGTGTATAAAAAAATAGAAAAAAAAACAAAAAAAATCAGGTGGAAAATCGAAAAGTTCGGAACTGTTTATTTACCTATGTATATATAATATGTAGTCTATGTATTCCATACTAACTGTTAAAGCGTACGTAGGGATAAACCCGAGTTAAATCACGACAAGTATTTAGCTATGTTTTTTTGAAATAAGGTTTACAGTTATATTGATTAAACAAATATTTTTCACGCACCTGCAACATATTCTTACTTAGTGAATATGTTAATTATTTAAAAACTTTTTTTAAGAACAGAAACTTAAGGTATCAGGAATTAAAATAAAAAGTATCGATTAAAAATTTGTATCAATGTATGTGCATACCAGTAGTCCCCGACGTCATCAAAATATAAAGACTATCTTCTGGTTTTACTTGATTACTGTATTTTGTTATTTCGCTATTGTTTTTGTTATTATAAATTAAAGAGTCTAGTGTTGTTACTCCACTGAAACAAAAAATTACGTATTACGAATAACTGCAATAAAATTTTCATAGCAATTACATATTTCTGTGTAAATATTTAAACCAGTAGTGATTAATGCATTTCAAATCTTAATGGTATTGAAGATATATATATCCTCTTCAACATGTTATGATATATAACTTTATTTCCGTTTAATTAGTTTTAAGTATATAACTTCTTTATAAATATATATAACTTACTTCAATTTTTTTTTGCCTGCTGTAATAATAGATCTCAGACTCGGACAATTTTCTGATCGCAATAGTCCTTCCTTAGAAGACTGTAACTCTGGCAACATTTTATTCAATACACCATAATAATCTATGTTTTTTATGTTATCACCAATCACTAATCCCTTTATTTGTGTTTTGTTAATACAAAATTGCAGTTCGTCTTTCTCAAATGTAGGGTTGATAAAAACCTGAAATATTTAAAGTAGAAGGAATATTTCAAAAAGTTATTTAGGATTAGAGTAACATTAGCAGTGATGATTTACTTGACATTTTGTCGTAAGTAACTTACAATAATGATAATCATACTAGTATTACGATATATATATATATATATATATATATATATATATATATATATATATATATATATATATATACGCAAGTTTATATGTCTGTTCCTTATCCTTTTTTTGTGTATGGTTTTTTTACATTAGGAATTGCATTTACACATACCACCTGTATGTGTATGTTGGCAGGCATTTATTTCTGGAGACTTACCAGCTAAAATAGCCAGTAGGTACTCGTCACAACCTCGTCTTAATCGGACTCCGTAGGATCACTAATGAACTTAATTATGACGCCCCGAATGACTTACCGAGGTAAACTTCCTTCCGAGTGATAAAACCGGCTGCCCCCCAATCATACAGTCCCTTGTAACGTCAGAGAGATCTATAAGTACAGATCTGACGTTGTTGAAAGAGGTTGTCGGGGAGATAGACGACGTCTGATCTCAATATCTGATCTACCTAGTACTCCCTATCCATGATAAACATAAGGTTGCTCTGATATCTTACTCTATTATTAGAGAAGTACTACGAGCTGCCTCCCAAGAGCGAGTCTTGGCATTACGCCCGACTGAATTGCCAGACACCTCTATTATTTTTGAATGTAAAAGTATCAGTCAAATCATTTTGTGGCTAATCGGCAATCGAATAAATAAGAACATAATAGGAATTGAAAATCATTAATAAAAAAAAATAAAAACTATCCTAATATCCGATGTGTATTATTTAGATTTGATAGGTGTTGGCAACCAATCAACACTATGTTATATTGAACACCGCATATTACTCATAAGCTACACATGATTACACGCCCACAAAAATTACGTTATGGGTAATTATGCTGACATCTAATAATTGGTGGTCGCTTTTTCATAGGTAGGTAAAATACTGTAAGTGAGAGGGAGAGAAACAGTAAGAAATAGATAAACGAATCCAATATACCCTACGCCTTTGTCATAGACAGCTGTAGCGTCCTTAGCATGGCTTTTACCGCATTTTCAAAGATCGAGCGAAGTTTTTAAAAAACTATATAGGTATATTACCATGTATAAATAAATTCAAAATATTTCATACCGCTATAAGTCCAGCTCTAGCTGCCGCAAGAACAGAAGTCACCCATCCCGAAGAATTGTGAAGCCATATTCCTATTCTGTCACCTTTTTCGAAGCCATTTGCTCTTAATGCGCAACCTATGGAGTCAGCCTGAAACGTTATTAAGAAGTATTGCTAAGTAAAGACAGACTCACAAATTAATACAAAAATAAAAATGTATACAAAATAGTTACAAAATGCAAACTTCTAAAACAATCTCACCTTGACTAAAAATTATAATATAATAATAATATCTGCAAACACAAGTGCAGAGTATTCCTATCACTCTCATACTCCGGTGCAGTGGGATGATAACTCGACAGGACAAATCCATACTTAATATTATAAATGTGAAAGTGTGTTTGTTTGCTTCTCTTTCACGTCGAAACAGCGCAACAGATTGGCGTGATTTTTTGTATAGAGATCTCGGACGGCTGGAGAGTGACATAGGCTTCTTTTTACCGCGGGATACTATCTCGTTCCCACGGGAAATTGCGTTAAAATATAACCAAAAAATATTTATGATCAGAATTACTTGCAACTTGATATTAATGCTCTTTAATACAATTAAATTAATACGTATTTTAGCATTTTTCGAAATTCATCCCATAAGAGGATAAAATAGGGGATGAAAGTTTGTATGTAACCTACCTTTTCAGTTTTTTTTGTAGTTTTAACGCGAGCGAAGCCGCGGGTTCTCACGATCGCGGACACGCCGACGTATCAGTAAACAACAGATTTTTTTAGAATTTTAATTAATTTATTAGAAATTTACCTGGAGGTGTTATTATTATTATATTTATTTTCATGTCACTTCCACAATACTAGTATAATTGGTAGATTGTTATTACTTATATCAAAACTCACTAATAATATAATTAATTAATATGACACAAGGTACTCAAAACCATTACAAACATTTTCGTTCATATAACGTAATAATATCTTTTTCGCGGAAATGAGTTTGTTATATTGTAAGAAACACTCGTAAAAACAAACCTTATTTAATAGTTCTTCATAAGTCATAGAGAGATCTTCATGGATGGACCTAATGGCAATCCTATCGGGGTACTTGTTTGCTGTTTCCGCTATAACATCCCCTAATGTTGCAATGGTTAAAGGTTCACTTCCTGGATTATGTAAATAGCTGCCACCATCAGTTTGTAACTGCGAAGTAAATCTGCAATTTATTTATTTTTTTGTTAAACTTAAAATTTATTTTGTAAAATGACTAGATAATAGGTATACCTAGCATGATATGCCTACATTGATTATTTAATAAACTGTAACACGTCATGTAAAATCTTTGCATTTGATTAAAATGGAAAACTACATATGTTAAGTCCTTTTATTGTCTCAGTCAAAATCGTTTAACCCTTTTCGAAGAGCGCAATTAGGAAAGTATAGGTAATTAGTCAAATATTCTTGATGTTCTATGAAGGTACTGAAACTAATTTTGAATTAAATTGTAAAGTATTGTTATGTCCGACTAATTAGACATTATAAGAAAAAAGTTCATCTTTAGAACCATTTCATTAACAGAATTGCATTTTATAAAATTGGCAAAGTAATTAATATATTATAGAATTGGTAGGTAATTAAATTGTTAGTATGAAATTTAATGAGATTGTTTACGGTGATGTTCCTCAAAAATAGGCCATTCAATGTAAAAAAGTTTTTTTTTAATAGGTTTGGTATTTCTATTAGCACAAACAAATAAAAGAAGAAACAATCACTTCAGCTTTTAATATTGGCGTAGATAAATTTAGAAATGGTCAAAGTTGTTAAATATTTTATGAAATAGTTTTTTTTTTCTTTAACTTTTTATCGTTATTTCTATTTAATCGTGCTCACTCACTAGAATTATTATTTGCATAGCGATAATAATAAAAATAGTTTTAAGCAAAAGTCAGAGATGATACATATGTACGTCAGACGTTTATATAAAAAAATATTAAGTAATTTATAATTTAATATATTTACTTACTCTAATTGTCTGTATATTATGTGTGTCTGTATGTTTTCGCCAATTTTTAATAGGTATGCCGCGAAAAAAAAACAATCGCCCTAAGGGTTGAATAATTATTTTAAGTGTTCTTGAATTATTAATAATACAAATGCCTATTCTTTTTTTAGTGTTTGGATACTTTTTTTGACGTTGGATAATGCATTTACGCATACAATGACTAACATCAGCTGCAGATCCGGAGGTCCTGGGTTTGACTCTTGGATTGAGAGAAGTTTAGTTATTAAGATTTTCTGTTAAAAATTCTCAGTAGCAACCCGGAGTTGGGAAGTTGGCGGTGTTACAATCCCATCCATGCCTCTGAGACGACATAAATTGCCTCACCAGCCGTGTCAAAGTATCGTCTACTATTTGTACTGTTTTGTTAGATGAATTTAACGAATAAGTGAAATAAAAAAATTAAAATAAATGATATGGTCTACCAGAAATTTCTGTCCATTTTTGGAATAAAATAAAATACACTTTTTTCTCAATATCAATAATTTTTAATAATAAATATAATTGCCATTATTATAAATGACTTTTCCCCAGCGTGAGGGCAATTTGTATATTCCATTTTTGAAAAATGTTTCATCTTTTGATGCGAAAAAATTGAACCAGTGCTTGTTATCTTCTTCATTTTTGAATTTATTACCCTTAAAAAAATTTGCAAGGACAAAACAAGTTATAGTCGGAGGGTGCTAAGTCCTGGGAATATGATGGATGCGACAGAATTTCCCAGCCTAGTTCAGCTATTTTTTGACGAGTCCCCAAAGTAGCATGTTGTCTGGCATTATCATGGTGCAGTATAATGCCCTTTCTGTTGAACATCGCAGGCCTCTTTTCTTGGACTGCTATCTTTAAATTATCTAGTTGTTAACAATATTTCTCCAAATTGAGCTTTTCGTTCGGTTTTAAAAGCTCATAATGTATTGGCCTTCGAATGGCCCACCATATACACAACATTCTTTTATTCAAAATCAATTTTGGTTTAGAGGTAGATGGACTAGGTTTCCCGGGTTCCCCCCCCCCCCCAACGTGCGTTCGCCTTGTCGTGGTAGGGGGGCTCAGTAGTGCCCGGCAATCCAACCAGGCGCGAAGCTAAGAAACGCACAGGGAGGGTGCCATGGTTGTGGTGGTCTGCTTCGGCAGACCTGCCGTCGGGGCGTCGTAGTTGAATGCGTAAGCGATCCGATTTTCATCTCCAGTTATTATCCGGTTTAAGAAGGGCACGATTTTATTCCGATCAAAAAGAGCTGTGCATATGATGACTCGATCATCCAAATTCTTCTAACTTAATTCCTGTGGCACCTATCTTGAATATTTCCACACAAATCCTTTATTCTGAATTTGGTCGGAAATGGTTTGCTGAGCTGAATTAAGCCTTTCTGTGATCTTTGATGTAGTCAGAAAGGGATCTTGCTCCAACATTGTCTTAATTAAATCGTCGTCGTTCGAAGATGGTCGCCCAGAACGTGGTTTATCAGAAAGGTCGAAATCACCTGTTTCAAATTTTTCGAAGCATGTCCTCCTATCAGAAACTGTACCTTCACCAAACACTTTCAATAAATTTCTACATGCTTCTGTAGCATTTCTTCCTTGTTGAAATTCGTACAAAATACAGTGGTCTAAATGAACTTTATCAGTAGCCATGGATACAATATCGCTATTAAAACTAACGTGATTCAACTTTGTTTTACTTAATTTGCTACGTTAATATGTATACATTAAGCGATAAAAATAGGGAGCCGAACATGCGAAAAATAAACATGTTATTACATGTCAAAATGGTTGTCATAGAAACGGACAGAACTTTCCGGTAGACCTATTAATTAAACTAATTAATTAAGAGTTGAAACTCACATGGGCAGAGCCGTGGTAAAACGCTAGTAACTAATACACTTTAACAAGAAACTGTCGAAAAGTCGAATGTCTGTACATAGAAAAAAATGCCAAAAACCGAATCAGAGGGATGTAAGAAGAGAAATAGAATAAACCCAGATTTTTATATTTTTTTTGTTGCTCTGTCTGTCTGTTTATCTGTCTGTCTGTTTATCTGTTTGTCTCTTTGTCTATTTGTCTATTTGTACGGGCTAATCTCCGAAACTGTTGGACCGATTTAAATGAAATTTTGCATGGTGGTACCTTATATCCTCAGTCAACATTTTGATTACTTTTCATTCCGTAAAATTAAAAAATACCCGTGGGATAGTTAAAAAACTATATTAATTTATACAGCATGATACACAAAAACTACTGATTGGACTTTAATTAAACTTTACAATAATATAGTTCATACATCAGAATAACAAATAAGCTACATTTTATCCCGGAAAATATACGGATCCCGTGGGATAGATTCTTCTTTGTTTGTCTTAAGGCGAACCCAATCAAAGCGAGGGTGAGTCGCTAGTTTCAAAATAAATCCGCGAAAAAATCAGAAAAGAGAGTTTTATTTAAGACTAGTGACTCACCTTCGCTTCGCTCCCGTTTGTCCCTGACTGACTCTTTAAACTGACTTTTTTGTTTATGAACCGGTGGAAATAAAACAAATACTAATTGTCAAGTATTGGTTTTATTTTCATTTCGTCAAGTAAATCGGTTAAGCCGTTTCTGAGATTAGCGCGGAAAAACGCACAGAAAAACAGTCAATAATTCTAAAAGTCAATGCTTTGGTTCTGTTGCGTTAATAAAGATCCCCCATAATATTTTTTCTCAAATATCTTCCATATACAGACAGCGATCAGTTACACTTTTATTATATGTATAGACGTCCTTCAAATAAGTTTAGTCATAAATGCCACACATAAAAATAAGTAATTCTTGTTTAACTTTTTTCTTAATATTTTTTCTTCTTTTTTTAATCTCACAGAAATTTTGCATTTGCAGATGAGACAAAGGAAACGAAACGACAAGTGTAATCTAGTTGGACTTAAAAAGCACGCGCATATGAGTTCTTATTCAATAATTTTGGCAAATCGAATAAAACGTATGAATCTCTAATTTGTTTATAAGAAAAATGTAGTTTTATGAGAAATCTAAGTTTTGTACCACAATAACATATGCGTATTTATAAATTAAAGTTAAAAATTACAAAGTAATATATTGATATTATACATTTCTTTTCTATATTACCTAATCACGTGGCTCTGATAATAACGTTCAACATTTTACGATTTCATATTTACGTCTGCTTCATAATAAAAATACATTTTTATTAATTTTAATAAATAAAAAGATACCTTTTTATATGCCTTAACGAATGAAAATATCAGCCAGTTTATGTTTGCATTCGATAAATTTTCACGATAAATTATTCATAAAACACGTGAAGTTTCACCCGACTATTCCTTCCGTCAATTGAAATTTCAAAAAATATTTTCTATACATTTATTTTATTATAAGCATAGGCTGTCATTTTTTTACAATATTATAAATTCACTAGCGGCTCACCCTAGCTTCGCTTGGGTTCGCCTCTAGAAATACAAAAACAAATTTATCCCATGGGAACTGTACACTTTTCCAGGTTAAAAGTAGCGTTTGTGTTATTCTAATGTATGAGTTATATTATTGTAAAGTTTCATTAAAACCCATTAGTAGTTTTCGCGTGAAAGAGTAACAGACATCCATTCATTATTAAGATATTTTTGAAATACATCGTAATGGTCTTTTTTATTTAATACTAACAGAACCCTTGGCTTCGCTGGTGCTAAAACTACAAAAAAATCTCTAAAAAGGTAGGTTTCATACAAACTTTCATCCCCTATCGAAAAATGCCAAAACACGTATTTAATTAATTGTATTGAAGAGTATTAATACCAAGTTTCAAGTAATTCTGATCATAAATATTTTTTGAATTGTATTATGACGTGTTTTCCCGTGGGAATGAGATAATCTCTCGCGGTAAAAAGTATGTCACTCTCCAGCCCTCCAACTATATCCACACAAAAAATCACGCCAATCCGCCAAACCATTTCGATGTGAAAGAAAGACAAACAAACAAAGAAACAAACAAACAAACAAACAAACAAACAAACAAACAAACAAACAAACAAACAAACAAACAAACATACTTTCACATTTATAATATTAGTATGGATAATAAGTAATGACATACCTTAAATTTACTGAATTTATTAATCTTTTAGACAGAGACGCGGCATATTTACTTAACATCTTTTCACTTAATGTTTAGCAACGAAGATAGCGGTACTAAAGATATCAACTGAATAACTGAGTCGTACTATAAAATTTGTGGGCTTATATATACACTCAATAAGAAAAAAAACTTTTTAACAAAAAAATAAAAACCGACTTCAAACAAAAGCACTAAAAAGTAAAAAATAACTGATTGGTAGTTTTCATTTACTATACATACCTAATCAAATATTTTCGAAGTCGGTGTGCTTTGCCTTGTATGGGTTGGCACCGATTTTGAAAATATTTGATTAGGTATGTATTTAATAGGTAGGCTTTAATTACTTAGCCAAAGCACACCAACTTCGAAAATATTTGATTAGGTATGTATAGTAAATGAAAACTACCAATCAGTTATTTTTTACTTTTTAGTGCTTTTGTTTGAAGTCGGTTTTTATTTTTTTGTTAAAAAGTTTTTATTTTTCCCTTTTTAGTGTAGACAGTAGTAGCAAAGTAAGAATTCTAACGTGTTAGGCTTGTCAAATCAAACAAAATAAGCCTAAACTCAAAGTATCTACTATTAGTCGTTGAAGAGTTCCACCTATCCACCTTCTGGCCTTGCCATCAGATCAGCTCAACAATACCGAACCACTGTACTATCAACGGAAATAGAAACACTTGCAAAGTTTCAAGTCAATATGACAATTAGAAGTAGGTTAAATTCATCATTAGCTATTTTTCCACCCTTAAGGATGGTATTTTTTTTTAAATTTAAATGGGACCAATCTGGAAGTATACACTTTCAAACAACACAAAAATTGTCCAAATCAGTTAATAAATGACAGAGTTCTGAGGTAACAAACATAAAAAAAATACAGTCGAATTGAGAACCTCCTCCTTTTTGAAGTCGGTTGAAAAACATACTACATTTGCGTACATCAAAATAATGGCCATTCTAATGAATATATTTTTTACTCTTTAAATGTAGGAGTAGTGTTGCTTAATAGTTTAATTTTAAATAATAGCAAACTATTTTTTTTCTATTATACCTACATAGGGCAATAATTTGATTTTAGAGTATAATGGTTTCATTTAAATTTCAAAAAAAGTAAAAGGTCATTTCTTTTAAGATTATTTTGAAGTCAGTCTATTACTATTACTATTTAAAAAAAATCTATTGACAAAATGAAGGTCTCTGATTTCACCATCAACAATTAAAACCGTAGCTGACCTTAATGAAACACTAGTTTCCTTTATAATAAACAAAATGAGATTATTGAATTTATCGTATACCAGCGCCTCACCCTCGCTTCTCTCGGGTTCGCCTCTATAAAAATAAAAACAAATCTATCCCTGGGAACTATATATTTTTACAGGATAAATCATATCCATCCTATAAACTATCTATCTCTGTGTCAAACTCCATCCAGATCCGTTCAGCCCTTCTGGCGTGAAAGAGTAACAAACATCCATACATCCATACTCAAAATTCTGTTTTTCACTTTTAACCAGAGTCACTGTAGGTACAGTCCATTCATAAAATTGGTAAGAAATAAGGCTTACTTACCGCTTACCTGTCTCGGCAGTATCGAGGCCGAACCCGCCTTAGACCACCCTACGGAAGTCGAACGGGGCACGCGACGCGACGCGAGTAACTTGTGACGAAACATGCAAATTTTTCAAACCAGCCTATGTACAAAGCTTAAAGTATTATATTCTCTTTTCTGATAAACATCGCTAGCAATTATAGTAAAGTAATTCATTTTTAACTATGTTATGCTGACAAATTTGTAGTATGATGAGGTTAGGTAAGAAAATTGCATATATGACAAATATCATAATATTATTAATAGCAGAACTCGCGGCTTCCCCCGCGTTCAATCTACAAAGAAAAACTCGTTTGCTTTATGTTAAATAGGGACTCACCCTCGCTTCGCTCGGGTTTGTCCCTATATATATACATAAAATTAAATAATTTGTATATTGTTCATACAAAAATACTAAAATCGCGATTAAAAATGGGGGTAGGGGTAAGAGGGTGATATATATTTTACGACCTATTCTCATAAAAAAATTCATTAAAATCAGTCGAGCCGTGACACGAGATATTTATATCTATATGTAGTCAATATTTTATAGACATTTATGTCTATCCTATAAAATGCATCCAAAGGTGAATTAAAACAGAATCGAATTTGCAATGCGGAGAACCAATATACAAAATTACTTCCTGTGCTGGAAGTATCGTGCCCGATCCTGCCCTAGTCTATACAACGGAAGTCGAGCGAATCGAGCTTCTGACGAAGCATGTAAATTTCTCAAAGCACGTAGCATAATTTTAAAGCTTTTCTGACCTCTTTCTTTCCAACAAGGTCAAATCATGAGTATCCTTTTAATGTACCTATATAGACTTATTGTGTTAAGGATGTATGATTGTTAGTATTTCCACTATAAGCATTTATATTTAAACAAACAAAAATGATTCTCGAAGCACATTTAATGCGGAGGAACTTTTAAGAAAAATATCATGAAAAATATATATTTTTCATTCGTAAAAATAAAAAATAAAAAATGAATTTAAACCAAGTTTGGATCTGAACTGTACTTTATCTTGCACCCTTCATATAAAAAAATTGGGTCAATATATAAGACGTTTTGAGACATCGCATTTGTAAGTTTGTTTGTAAATCCAACTCGCGTTGCCGTCGCCTTTATTTACTCGAATCATGCAAGAAGTCGGCTGAGCTACGCAACTGCCGCAGTCATGCTCCGCCCGCCCAACGATCGACATCGCTAGCCCGACCACCATGGTCACTCGCGATATAGTGAAGTGTCTTGTGATACGGTAATGTGAGAATGTCTCAAGCCCCGAGTGGCAAAAAGGGCGGGAAGGGCCCGCCGAAAAAAGTTCCTGATGAGGATAAAATTATACCAAAAGTTGAGGAGAAAGATGATACTTCTTCAAATAATGGAGACAAGAAAGAGGTTAAAGAAAGCAATGGGATGGGTGACGTGCCTAAGCCTCCTAGTGCGGGGGTCAATATGCGGGAAGCTGCTGCAAAAATTCTGGTACTGGCGCAAAAAGGAGAATGGCCTGCAGTGGAACAAACCCTCAAGGTGTTGGAAAAGTTGGTGGCGGCTGGCGGAGAAGATATTGTATCTGTACCGATGGCTGGGATAATCGACCCGGTAACAATTCTATTTTAATACTTGTTATTAAGCTCTATTAAGTTAGGTTAAGTTCATTCAGCGGTCACGCATTCTTTTATTGGATTTTGGACATTATTTAACCGTCCAAGTACGTATTATACTTTACTAGTGCGCTAGTTTTATTATACATACCACCGTAGATGGAGGTTAATGTGTTTATTATTTGGACATTGGATTAATCAGGAATAAAGGAGGGTTTAATAAATTTGAAACAGTTATTATTTACGTATATACCCACATTTTTGCAGCTTTATACCTAGAATTCAAATCTGTAATTATTTTTGTTATAAAATTTTCTATATAAAAAAGAGTCACATATTTTTGGATTTTTGACACATTTTACCTAATCATATAAAAATTATAATAAAAACTATATACATATATTGTTTTTTTCAAGTTTTTAATAATATTTTTAAAATAAATGTTTCAAAGAAGATTGAGTCCTGAGGATTCACTATATTTCAGTATATTTTTGCTATATATTAATACTCTATATAATTGGTAATAATTGGTACTCAAAAAAGTTATCACAGCTCAAATGTTAGACCGTGATATAATTTTATTTATGGAAAGATAAAGCTAAAAGCTTTGATAACGACTTCACACGTTTACAATAAAAAAAAGTTATTATAAAAACTGAACTAATGCATCTCCTCGTACAATTTTGCAGTATTTAAAAATACTTAAAACAATGATGCATGGAAACCAATATTCTATGAAAAGCCTACTTTATACTACTATCAGAAGCATTTGAGATGAAAGATATATTTATATTGAATTCAATGTAAGTAATAAACGATCTATTTTTTTTTTATTAATATTGTAGTATTGAAAAGCCAGCATTTTCTTCGTCATTCATCTTCAAAAATGTTGTAATTAGGGAGCGAATGAGCGGCTCTTGTGATAAATGAAGTACGAATGATTTTAAATCTCTTATACAAGGCGTCCCAGAAAGTAGTGTCAAGCGGAAGTCCAGAGATAGAGTATCCCTTGGGGTACCCGAACATCCCCCCATGTATGTTTCGCGATTGCTCATAGTTTTTGAGTATTTTCCACCTCGCTATCTTTGAACGCCGATTTTAGCCAAAGTAGCCAATTAAGTACTATTTTTTTTAATGATTATGAAAGTTGAGAGTCTTGAAAACTTTTGAGACTTAGGATCCACGTAATCAACTGTTTAAATTTTTAATTTAAAGTTGAAAATGTAGGTTATAATTCACCAAACGTAATTTTTTCACTTTACACCAACATTTTCATAATTTCCATCAAAGTTACGAAGCTGATTATTTTAAACATAAAAGTACAACTCATGAAGATTCAGTTGCAAAAATGAAATCTCGAAAAAGTCTTACTTTTTTTTAAGTTGCTTAGTTTGAAAATTCTCAAAAATTCAAAAAAAAATTCATAACTCAAAAACTATGAACAATCGCAAAACATACATGGGGGTGATTCGGATACCCCAAGGGGTGCTCTATCTCTGGACTTCCGCTTGATACTACTTTCTGGGATACCTATATATTATTATATCTTCAAAATACTTAATATTGTTGTTTATATTTCTCAAATTTTGTAACATTAATAATGCCTTTTGGTGAAGGAATACAAACCTATAAATACATATGTCTAAAATAACCTTAGTTTTTCGAAGACATATGAATGTGGTGGACCTAGAGCCGGATCCCCTCGCATTACAGAGAGGCTCATGCCCAGCAGTGCGGCATCAAAAGGGCTGAATTATTATATTTATCAATGATAATATGAATAATCTACAGTACGTATAAATTTAAATAGATATCTACTTACTTCCATTCTAATATTATGAATGTGAAAGTGTGTGAAGATGGATGGATGTTTGTTACTATTTTACGCCAGAATTCTAGATGAAATTTGGCACAGAAACAGATTATAGTCTGGAATAGCACATAGGTTACTTTTTATACTGGAAAAATGTACGGTTCCGTGGGATAGATATGTTTTTCTGTAGGGACAAACTCGAAGCGAATTGAAGGTGAGTCGCTGGTGTCTTATAAAGTATTACTTGAAGGAGTGTTTGAAAATACTATGACTATTTGTTTTGCAACCTTTTCTAGAATAGAGTTCTAAAGAATAACAACAACAAAAACTTGATATTCCTCAACTCAGCTAAATTTATTTAATCGTTTTACATCCATCGTTTACCGTCGTATCTTATCAAGGTCTCAAAGAAGATCGAACTTAACAAAATTATAATTGCTAAAGCTTAAATATACATCGAGAATTATACATGAAATTACCATCTATTAATTTAGTTTAATTATACTAATAAACATCTTCATTTTTAATAAATATTTAAAGTTATACTAACAGAAAAGATACGCTAAGTATGTAGTGGCTAGATAGTGGGTACTGTAAATATGTAATCAGCCTTTTTTAACGTCCCGCTGCTGGGCACGGGCCTTCCTTCAACATGAGGGGGGTTAGGCCATAGTTCACCACCCTGGCCAAGTGCCATTTGGCGGACTTCACATTTCTTTCGAAAACATGCTAGGCTTTCTCAGACACGCAGTTTAATCACGATGTTTTCCTTCACCGTAAGACAAGTGGTAATCATGTTAGAAATGATTCACACATGAAAATATCAGAGATAAGCGAGCGCGTTGCCAATAGACTACCACTACCTTGTACGGTACTGTAGACAGCGCGAACAATTCAAAATATTAAAAATCATTTTCATTTTTGCTTTTTGTGCCACAAGAATAAATACAAATATATAACACGTAGCAAGTCAATTTCAAAATAGAATGTAAAACAGTGAAACACTTTTCCTGTTATAATCGTTATATTGACAGTAATTAATAAAATTTATATACATAACAGCAAAATCATACTATATATATTCCCCCAAACGTCAAATATTCCTATAACTCCTGCCTGCCTGGCACCTGCGTAGACGAACACCACAGAGGTTGTACGAAGGCGCTTGATGTCTTTGAATAAACTAGCGGCGCGTAACAAGAATTTTACAATCGCAGTACCTACTACAGTAATAATAATAGTTCGTGAGGAAACTATCCTTGACTTGGAATGCACTTTTGCTGAGATGAGATTAGTTTTTTCAATATATTATTTTTTTAATATATTTTTTAATATATATTTTTAATATATTTTTTAATATATTTATTATTACATATAATTTTGTATTCTTTTCAATATATTCTTAATATAACTTTGTGAGGCTGTGGTAGATCAGCGGTGAAGCGCTTGCTTAGACAACCAAGTGAAGCGAGTTCATATCACTGGTCTTGCACCTCTTATATTTTCATGTCCGAATCATGTTCAACACGATACCACTTGTCTACGGTGAAGGAAAACAAATCTATCCCTCGGGAACCGTATATTTTTCCACGATAAAAAGTAGCCTATGTATTTAAAGCCAGACTATAATCTATCTTTGTGGTAAATTTCATCCAGATCTATACAACCTTTCTGTCGTGAAAGAGTAACACACATCCATACTCACAAACTTCCACATTTATAATATTTATTTACGGATATTTTTTACGGATTACTTTTTTTGTTTCTTAATATTGCAAAATTATTAAATGAGCATGTTTTAGATAAAAATAATTAAAAAAACTTAACTACTCATCTTCAAGAACTTTACTTTTGCAAAGAGGCAGATATGGTGAAAGTCAAAGTGAAGTTAGAGAAGCTAGTGACATCAAAATATTATTTAAACATTTTTATTTATTTTCAAATGAAAAGTGAATCAAATATTAATATTTAGAGTTGTCTAAAAAATTTATCAACTCCACGTTAAAGCACGAGGGGCGTCTGTATGTTCGATATCATGGCAACCGATCGCGTGCGCGCTTTCTGCGAGACATCTTTCTAACTTTTTACTGCTTTACCTCCCTTTGTACAGCTAGATCGATCAAAACGATTGTCATGTATGATTTGTTTTGGAATTTTTATGTACCCACTATTTACAATTTATTCGTCATCCATTTTAAGTTTCGTGCATCGTTTTATTATTATATAAACTCTAGCGACTACGGCACTGGTCTCTAGGTACGGTTTGACGTTTAGTATGTAATAGACTATATTTACATAGGTGCGATGAGTTTTTTATCTCTTAATTGAGATATTACTGATTTCCCATACATACTTATACCCCCCCCCCCCTTGCACCCCTTAAGGGTTCATATCCGGGGTGAAAATATTCTATTCTATGTCCTTCCCAGGATCTCAAGCTATCTCCATACCAATATTCATCTAAATCCGTTCAGCCATTTATTTGTGAAAAGATAACAAACAAACAAACAGAGTTACTTTCGCATTTATAATATTAGAGGGTTTCTAGGTATCCTTTGGATGAATTAAACAAAATAGAAACTGCTTGATAATTGGGATAAGAACCAGTCTATTTATATACTTCGCATCACTAACTATCCCTTTACCAAAAATCGTTAAGAAGATCATAGGATCTTTGAAATATTATATTGGAACAAATATATATTTATATTATAATCTGGAGGTGGGCGTTAATGATGACACAGTTTGAACTAATGTAGGACTTTATCGAACATAATTTTATAAATTGTAATTATTAAAACGTGTCCAATATAGATTTTTATTATTATTATAGGTATACCACGCTTTCCTATTTATAAAAAAACTACCTTCTTTTTTTAATGTCGGGAAATGTATTTAATAAATTAATAGATACGAATAGGCGGTTATAGGCGTTACAGAATCGTTTACGCACTCAACCACGACGCCCCGATGGCGGGTCTAGCAGACCACAACAACCATGGGGTTACTCCAACAATCCACAGAAGAGTACCAGCCACCCACCGAGGTGAGCCGCCTCTCAGTGCGTTTCTTGGCTTCGCGCCCCGCTGTATTGCCAGACGCCAATGAGCCAGCCAATAGCTCAGTTTGTAATGACCATACTTGTTGAGCCAGCGGTCGTGGGATCGAGTCCCGCTGGGGCCATT